GCCACTTTAAGAAATGGAACACTAGTCACTTTAATAATGTTTACATATCTTGCACTACTCATCTCATATGTATATACTGCATTCTATTCTATAATATTCTTCTGTATCTTAGTCCATGCCGCTCTGTCATTGCTTGTCCATATATGAATATATTCTTAAATCCCATTCCTTACTTTTTTGTGTGTATTGGGTATATGTTGTGAAATTGTTAGATATTACTGCACTGTCGGAGCTAGAAGCACAAGCATTTCGCTACACCCGCTATAACATCTGCTAAACACATGTATGTGACAAATAACATTTGATTTGATTTGACTAACACTGCCTACCGTACTCAATGATGGTCATTTGTTCCCACAGTTATGTGGATCACCAGGCCAAGGATTCGCCTGATCAGCCATAGGGTTAGCCAGACTGCCATCTAACCTAATCAAGCTCACTGCACTAATTAGCTGTCAGAGAGAAGCCAGTGAGTTTACAGGAGCTGATTAGTGATGCGGTGGATGTGAAGGCCTTTGTCAGACAGCTTACTTCTGTTACAGCTATGTCAGCAGCCCCTATTGACCTAAGTGGCTCAAATTGGTCAATTTTCTCATCTGTCAGCTAATCATCACGCGCCTGTCATCTCCACATCTCTGTGTCTCTCCTTTCTCGGTTGAAGTTAATGGGCTCCAATTATTTTATTTCAATAAGTGAGCACTATACAATTTGCAGGCCACAAATGACCCTACAAATGAGTTTGGATTCAATGACACTATCCCATCACTGAAAGGAACCTCAATGCACAGCAATACCAAATAAGGCTATCACTCAGGAATACATCTTCATGAGGGTGTTTATATTTCCTTCCTAGAACAACTAGCTATGAGTATTGGGATTGTGGTGTATCAGTGTCACTATCCGTTGGTATAGTAGGTATTAGGTGACTCTTAGAGGGGTTTAAGAATACATGTGGGACAGCTTTGGCTGACCTAGTTCTGTAAATGTTCTTTAACTAACAAGCGCCTGTGGGTTGCATTCCAAATGGCACCCTATTCCCCATGGGCCCTGGTCAAAAGTAGTGCACCCCTGCACATCAACTCGGCACTGGTACTCCCTGCATTTAGCCATGTTATTTATTTTTTTACTTGTTATTCACTGTGTATTTATTCCTCGTGTCACTATTTCTATTTTAAAAATATATTTTTTTACTCTGCATTGTTGGAAAAGGACCCGTAAGTAAGCATTTCACTGTCAGTCTACATCTGTTATTTTTTTAAAGTTTTTTTTTTAAACCTTTATTTAACTAGGCAAGTCAGTTAAGAACAAATTCTTATTTACAATGACGGCCTACACCAGCCAAACCTGGACGACGCTGGACCAATTGTGCGCCGCCTTATGGGACTCCCAATCACAGCCGGTTGTGATACAGCCTGGAATCGAACCAGGTCTGTAGTGACGCCTCAAGCACTGAGATGCAGTGCCTTAAACCGCTGCGCCACTCGTTTTCTAAGTATGTGACAGGTATGTGACAAATAAATGTTATTTGAATAGGAAATACGGTGTCATTTGGGACGCACCTCTGAACACTAAGCAGAAAAAGGCTACCACAGACAGCCATTCTGAAATTCAGTTATTTTACTAATAATAAATAATATTTTACTTCTAAAATAGCATAACAGGACATAATAAATAACATATTTAGGACATCCTACATTCATAATTCTTTTGGACTCTTCAAGGCTTGGTCCAAAATTGCAGTTACTGCATACCAGCAGTACAAAAGTAATATCAAACAACTTAAAGTTCTCATACGTTACAAATAGGCATTATAAACAACACAACTTAAATAACATTTGATGGTCACATTATGCAACTTATCGACCAGCGAGGAAGCATAATACAGTATCCCTAACCTAAACGTAAGCTAGATAAACCACTATCACTAGTATATCAGGCCATTCATTCCATTATTGAGTCACAAAGTTGTATCAATAGTCTCTGTGTGGTACAAGGCGACATGGAGTCGCGTGGGGTCACACATCCCTGCAGGGGGCGTACTTTCCTGTCCAGAAGTCAGACTCGTAGCCTGAGTGCCAGTCTGTTTGTGCCATCATGCCAACTCCTTGTCACTCATTGTCAAGGCTTGACAAGGACATCAATGGAGTTGGCAAGAGCACAAACAGATCTGGGACCAGGCTAATACTTGTGTGGTTCCTCCTTTAGATGAAGATGTGCTCTGCCTGTACAGGCGGTCATGGCTTTGAACATCATAGTCAGTAGGAGAAATCCACACAGCAGTCAGTCAGGATGAGACAGGTTAGATAGGACACTCCCAGGACTGCTGTGCTCTCATCACGTGTTTCTTGATTTGCTCATATGTGACAAACATTACAATGTTCCAGGATCCAAGGCGAAGGAAAGAAGGCATGAACCTGGAGGGGAAGGAGAACCAGATTATTTAACCAAGCTGAACGATTTCCTTAATTCACTGTTGATATCTAGGAATTATCTTGATTCAGCCAAAGATGATTTGAAAGCAATTGGAATTTAGAAATGTGGCTTTTCATTACTCCACACCCTTTATAGAAGGCTTTGGGTCCCTCATTTCTCATCATCGTAACAGCACAGTTAATAGCACTGTTGTATTTTCCAGCTGAAGAGTTCATGAACCGGGTCTTCACTACATCTACAGGAGACGCCACAATAGTGGTGATGAAACCGGCACTGAAGGCTGCCGTGAAATGGCAGGGCAGGTTATCTGAAACCCCCCCCAAAAAAACATAGAAATTATTGTATTACTTAATATACACTTCGAAGTACTTGAAACTATTCAAATGTACCCTGTGTGGTGTAAAACAAATCACATGCCTGCTTACCAGTCATGATGTTATACTTAAGGATAAGTTCCTTGATGATGTCATAAGTCACCAGCTCCGAACAGTTCACTATGGCGTTACGAGTTATGTTTGGGCCACAACCTGGAAGAGATAATGATGAATGAAACTGGTCATTACAATTTCAGAATCATCTTTGTATGCATGTAAAGCAAATGTAATGTACCAAATTGGACTGAAATTCAAACTGCATTAGGCCTACCTTTCCAGAGCCCTCTGATGCCCTCAGTCCTGGCGATGGTCCTGTAGGCATCCATGGTGCCGCTATATCTCTTCACCCCCTCCCCTTCTGCTCCCCTGACTTGAGCCTGGAACCGTACTTTCACCACGTCTGTTGGCTGAGCAAAGGCTACTGCCATGGCCCCGGTCGTACAGCCTGCCATCAGCCGACTCCCAATGCCTGCATCTATGAGTAGAGAGGAGTAGCGAGGATGAGAGATGCAGTCATAAAACACCCAAGCTACATTATTTCAGCCACATTCATGATCTTCTACTTCCACTAACTCAGATAAAAATGTGATTGAGAGATAAATAAACAGGTATTTTATACCGAAAATGTCTGTTAGGAGGTAACGTACTGTCTGTGCCCCGGGTGTAGAACTGCTTCATGGAGTCATAGAGGCCGATGCGGACCGAGGCGAAGCTCATCTGTCTCTGGAGACCCGCCACCAGGCCGTTATAGAGGCTCCTGGGCCCCTCTGTTTTCACCATGGTGTTAATGGTGCCAAACACACCTCTGTACTTCACCACCATCTTCCCTTCAGAGGACTTGGACTCGCCCTGGATCTAAGACAAACACAAGTTTTATTAATCTTTGTATTGAAAGTAATCCTAGTAACACAATTCAATCAAGACAGGATACCTTTACATAATCATTATATAAAACATGGCTACATTGCAATGACCATACTAGCATACCACTTAAGAGTACATGGCCAATACGTTGCATCATTCTAAATAGTATACTAGTGAAGATAATGGAACAAACAATTACTTACTTTTTTAGCATAATCATGGTTACAAAAATCATTGTACTGTATGTAAAGCATGTGCACCCTCTCACCTGCAACCTAACTTTAGCTGTGTCCAAGGGGAAGGTGATCAGGTCAGCAATACAGGCTGCAGTTCCAGCACCAAAGAACTTAACAGCTGCTGTAGGGGCCAAGTCTGTGGGCTTCACTCCAACCATGACTGAGATGGTGCAGATAATCTCCCAAAGAGAGTACTGAAGGTCTTACAAGTACAGTAGATAGACTGTAGTTAAATAAGTTCTGTCCGTTCCTAAAGAGAATAGAGCAAATAGTAAGTAATCAGGATGAATCAAAGAACAAATAAAGACAGCTTTTTGGTCAGTATCAATGAATAATTATTGTAAGCAGCCCAAATCACACTTACTTGGACAGATGCAAGTGATATTCAAGTTTCAGGTATTGGAAAGTTGTCTTTATGAATGTAAGATCCTCTTGTCTTTTGTTGTTCCATAAAATTGCTCCAAAAAAGCATACCACTGCCTGTGAAACATATGAACATGAAACAAACCAATATGAAAAAAATACTTTGGCAAGCCCTATAAGCATGCGTAAAATTAAAATACGCTTTTAAAATTTGTCGTACAATTTAGGCCCGATCTCAAATTCTAAATTAAAGCAGTAGATAAATGTTAAGCAGACATTAGACAGGCAAAATGGATCTTGAACAAACTAGCAATAAAACAACAAATATTGGTATAACATTAGGCTTACCTGATTGGAATAAAAAGTACTGTAATCCAAAATGTGTTCTATAGAGGAGCACTGGTTTGAGAGAGTTAGGATTTGATTTTCACGCCCAGGGGTGGGTGTGGGTTATTATAGCTTGCCCGTCCCTTGTCACACATATTTCCATGACATAAGTTGACCTGAAAAGTATGCGTAAGCCTGTGTCGTACATGAGATATGTTGACACATGGCTGGCTCAATGATTTGTCTAGTATGCGATGACAATGATCCGATTTTGATATCGATTCAAACCAAATGATGAGTCAAGATTCCACACTTTCAACTGCATTTAGTTCCTTTTTTTGGTAAAAAACATTACTCCAAAAATGTATATTCTAATCATGTTAACAAAAGGTTAATATAATCAATGTATCCCTTTTGGGAGTATAAGACATTATGCAACATTATGTCAGTCAGTCTCACAGTTTACAACAGTCAATGTTCTGTTGAACCTTAAAAAAACATGCATTTAATTATATCTGTGGAAAAATGCAAGACTCTTCCATACATCATTTATTATGTAATTGGTCATTTTCAGTAACACTGACCAACCGATATGCAAGATACAGTAGAGTTGTCCTAAACTCAAAAGGTCTCACATCCAATGAATTTCATTGCAGCAGGGAGCCAAGGCAATAAGACTTGTTGAAATAGTGCTGACCTAAATTAGACTATAATAACTATGTAACACTCCATAATTATATATTTTTCTAAAACACCCATGCACCCATCCACTCAGCCAATCCATACATGTCCCTGAGAGGCTGTGTGCCTGAGCTAGTGCATGTTTTCAGTCAGAAGTTCCTACAGTCTCCTGGTTTCAGGAAAATAAGTGTCTTGTGAATAGTGTGTGACTGCCTGGTGACGCAGAGAATAGAACAATGTAGCCCTATTACATACATTTCCTAACACTAGCCCACTAACCCTGACAGCTGCTGAAATCCAAACAAAGGTGACGTCACTAAGAACAAACTGTTCATCACTTTGTTGGAAAAACAAGGACAACTGCTAAATGACTTAAATCTTAAACTGGGCAGGTGTCAACACTTGATACCCTGTTGACTACTTGACAAAATGTTTTCCCCGTGACAATAATCCTTAAAAGGCTATGGGAGTCTCCCACATCAGTGATCATTGGTGCACACAGTAATAATACATTTAAAAAAACATCAGTTACACTGGCAAACCATTTAATTTATAAAAACAATAGAAAAACAGTATTTAAATTAAATGTACATATTCTTTACATAATTAGAAAGCACTGTCCATGAGCTGCCACTTATGTAATCAAGATGTGGTCATTCATAAACCTTTAGAAAACATACACTCAACCTTATATACAGCACGACACACAATATCAAATAGCATTTAGAGAAAGTGCTAATGTTAGTCTTTAAAATGAGATGCAAATATCTTTGCTATTCTCTTGGTCTCTTCTTTCTTCATGGACGACGGTGGTATATTGGGCCTGGGACGAGGAACGCGCCGACAGAGAATCCCATGTCTAAGAGAGCTCTTTTTCTGTAAAAATGAGATTCAATCTATTGTTTAGCATAGAAACTGGCATATTGTTCTTAGTTTGCAAGCAAACAACATTCACCATTAAGCTTTAAATGGAGATAAAAAAAACATGATAATGCAAATAATTAAATGTCTACCATTGTGTGTCAATGAGTCAGTCCTTTCTCCATCAAAACGGAACCAGCCCCACATTGGTCAAATACGTACAAATATGTGATCAATCACGCTGAGCTCTACACTTAAAAGGGCTGGTCAGATGTTTGTTTTAATATTAGCACAGAGTGACTAGCAGGAACCAGTTTTCTCTGACATGTCCTGCGAACTCTGTAGTCCCATTGCGTGATAAACAACTGCACCTCCACACCCCCTTCTTGAAACTGGATACATGCCAGTCTGACGCAGGGGCCCGGACAGGCAGGCATACCTCCCTATCACCACAGTTGCCCTTTAGTTATTTAAGCTGTTGAACTGAGTTATGAGCCAAAACCGAATGATTATTCTCATTAGAACAACAACTCCTGAGCTATTAATGATAAATGTTGATTTCTCACAAATAGTAGACCTAAATCTCCCATAGCCAGACTGCCCAGTGACTGTGACCTCACAGTTAAAGTTCAACACATCGTTGAGACAGAAAGACACTCAGGGGTTCTTGTTTTATGATATTTCAGCCAATGACATGCGGAGCGCCCTGAGTCTCTCCCTCTCTCTAGAGATGAGCCTAATGGTTATTTTCTCCTTAGCTCAATAGCAACGCAAACAATTTGAGAGAGATCCCCCCCACTGCTAAATAGTTGGGTCAATCCTCAGGGCAGAAAGGACAGTTCCTCTCATGATAAAAGCCCCCACCCCAGATCTATATTTTAAGGCAGGCAGTGGCCTCTTATACTATTAGCTGCTGCACTGGCTCAGTTCGTGCAGTCACTAGACTGGTCTAGACTGGCTCAGTTCGTGCAGTCACTAGACTGGCTCAGTTCTTGCAGTCACTAGCCTGGTCTAGACTGGCTCAGTTCGTGCAGTCACTAGACTGGTCTAGACTGGCTCAGTTCTTGCAGTCACTAGCCTGGTCTAGACTGGCTCAGTTCGTGCAGTCACTAGACTGGTCTAGACTGGCTCAGTTCGTGCAGTCACTAGACTGGTCTAGACTGGCTCAGTTCGTGCAGTCACTAGACTGGTCTAGACTGGCTCAGTTCGTGCAGTCACTAGACTGGTCTAGACTGGTGCACTCTGTGTGACTCCTATACTGGTCCCCTTTACTTGTCTAGAGCCAAGCTGGACGAGGAATGGCACATAGTGACCTACTAGTAACTACACTGCTCAAAAAAATAAAGGGAACACTTAAACAACACAATGTAACTCCAAGTCAATCACATTTCTGTGAAATCAAACTGTCCACTTAGGAAGCAACACTGATTGACAATACATTTTACATGCTGTTGTGCAAATGGAATAGACAACAGGTGGAAATTATAGGCAATTAGCAAGACACCCCCAATAAAGGACTGGTTTCGCAGGTGGTGACCACAGACCACTTCTCAGTTCCTATGCTTCCTGGCTGATGTTTTGGTCACTTTTGAATGCTGGCGGTGCTTTCACTCTAGTGGTAGCATGAGACGGAGTCTACAACCCACACAAGTGGCTCAGGTAGTGCAGCTCATCCAGGATGGCACATCAATGCGAGCTGTGGCAAGAAGGTTTGCTGTGTCTGTCAGCGTAGTGTCCAGAGCATGGAGGCGCTACCAGGAGACAGGCCAGTACATCAGGAGACGTGGAGGAGGCCGTAGGAGGGCAACAACCCAGCAGCAGGACCGCTACATCCGCCTTTGTGCAAGGAGGAGCAGGAGGAGCACTGCCAGAGCCCTGCAAAATGACCTCCAGCAGGCCACAAATGTGCATGTGTCTGCTCAAACGGTCAGAAACAGAGTCCATGAGGGTGGTATGAGGGCCCGACGTCCACAGGTGGGGGTTGTGCTTACAGCCCAACACCGTGCAGGACGTTTGGCATTTGCCAGAGAACACCAAGATTGGCAAATTCGCCACTGGCGCCCTGTGCTCTTCACAGATGAAAGCAGGTTCACACTGAGCACATGTGACAGACGTGACAGAGTCTGGAGACGCCGTGGAGAACGTTCTGCTGCCTGCAACATCCTCCAGCATGACCGGTTTGGCGGTGGGTCAGTCATGGTGTGGGGTGGCATTTCTTTGGGGGGCCGCACAGCCCTCCATGTGCTCGCCAGAGGTAGCCTGACTGCCATTAGGTACCGAGATGAGATCCTCAGACCCCTTGTGAGACCATGTGCTGGTGCGGTTGGCCCTGGGTTCCTCCTAATGCAAGACAATGCTAGACCTCATGTGGCTGGAGTGTGTCAGCAGTTCCTGCAAGAGGAAGGCATTGATGCTATGGACCGCCCGTTCCCCAGACCTGAATCCAATTGAGCACATCTGGGACATCATGTCTCGCTCCATCCACCAACGCCACGTTGCACCACAGACTGTCCAGGAGTTGGCGGATGCTTTAGTCCAGGTCTGGGAGGAGATCCCTCAGGAGACCATCCGCCACCTCATCAGGAGCATGCCCAGGCGTTGTAGGGAGGTCCTACAGGCACGTGGAGGCCACACACACTACTGAGCCTCATTTTGACTTGTTTTAAGGACATTACATCAAAGTTGGATCAGCCTGTAGTGTGGTTTTCCACTTTAATTTTGAGGGTGACTCCAAATCCAGACCTCCATGGGTTGATAAATTGGATTTCCATTGATAATTTTTGTGTGATTTTGTTGTCAGCACATTCAACTATGTAAAGAAAAAAGTATTTAATAAAATTATTTCATTCATTCAGATCTAGGATGTGTTATTTTAGTGTTCCCTTTATTTTTTTGAGCAGTGTATGTCCTCCTTTAGCATTGGTATGACAGGATATTAGCACTGGAAGATGATGACTTGGCAATTTCAAGACTGTAGAGCAACGCTGGCAGTTTCCTTATTAGTCAGCAGTGTGCTCCATACACGTGCCTGATAGAATGAATGACAATATTCTGTAACCCATGGCTCGAAAATGCAACGAGAGTGAATAAGTCTTACGATCGATCATCTTACAGCATAATAAATGTTGATCTGTGTCTCAGTTACTCATGTCTAGACTTGCAAAACCCTGCTATAATAGCATATTCAGGCTCATCCCAGAAGCAGAAGAAAAAGGCGATTGAGGCAGAGAGAGAAAGAGGAGGGGAGAGGGCTGGTACTGTACTTACTGGGTCAGAAGATGCCAGGGGGAAAACTGGTGCTATGCGTAGAGCTCTCATAGAAGCCTCCATGTGGTGAGATGAGAGGAAGAAATTAGGGATCTCCACAGGGTCAGAGCTGGACAAGAGGCAGTTAAGGAACAAGCAAAAACCAAGCATGCACGTACTGTATTTATTCTTGGGTCCATGTTAAAACTGTAAACATTATATCAATGAAACTCAGCTTCAGCTAAACAGTTAGAATAACAAAGAGAGGTAAGAAAACAACGCTGACAATGTAAGGATACTGTTTCGACTTCCTGTTGTCTTCTCTGTGTAGGAATGTTTCTGGCTGATATATGTCAGACATGCCAACGACATGTTCTGTGTCATCTTCTGAGAAAGCAGCTGTGTCGTACAACAACCCGGGGATCTCATCCTCTGACAGAGCATCTCTGTCAACAGGAACCCTGCTAGCAGTCTCTCCACTACACAATAAGGACTGTTCATGTAGAGGAGCAGTGATGGACTCCTGATGTAGTGCTGCCTCATGGTCAGAGGTTTGGAGTGTCCTCTCACCATCATTAACCGTGTCTTCCTCCTCGTCTGTGTCTGGTCCATGAGAGAACTCAGAGTTAACATGTTGATCCCTCTCCTCTAGTCTGCTGCCTATGGGCTCACCAAAGCTCCAAGCCTGCAGGGTGTCAGTCTGCAGACCTAACCTCTCCCTCTCCTGTTGGGTGAGGCTGGGCTGGTAGGAGTAGTCCGAGGCTTGGTGCTCCTCTGGTGCCTCCAGACTCTCCAGAGAGGCTAGGTCTGGGTCTGACAGCAGGCTGGTCCAGGGGCTGGTTCTGTCTGTTAGAGATGTAACCTCATTCAGAGGCCTGGGCTCCACCACTGTCTCCTCATAATCTCCATCCTCCTCCTCCTCCTCTCTGGGACCTCCCCCTTCATCATCTTCAGATGCAGGGGCCTTGTCATCTTCTTCATCAGCCTGAGAATCACTGTGTTCCTGACACGTACATGGTACAGGTGAAGGGACAGGAGACAAGTCCTCCTGGGGGGAGCCGGATGCTTTATGGGAACATGGAGCACTCTGGGGGAATGTTTCAGAGCCCTCAGGCAGAAGGTGGTCATCTGGAACAGGGGGAGTTGTTGAGCTGCTTTGGGGGCTAGAAGGTATTGTCTCCAAGCAATGATGTCCCTGTAGACCTGGAGAAAGGAAAGGGATGTGTTGAGTGGCCTGACTGTAATAATAGTATAATAACAATGTATTAACAAGGCAATCTCCAAGACTTAGACATGAAGGAACATATTTTGGACACCCTTTGAATAGGTATGCAACCCAAATCGGATCCTATTCCCTATATAGTGCACTACTTTTGAACAGAGCCCTATGGGAATAGGGTGCCATTTGGGACCAATCAGGAGAAGTATGAGCATCTCACCACTGATGAGGTTGTTAACCTCCCCAACCAGGCGGGTGGACTTGAGGAGGAGCTGGGAGGAGTCTGTGTCTGAGTCCCTGTGCTCGTCCAGTCTGGAGCGCTGGTCCTGGCCCTGCTCACTCAGAGAGGGGAAGGTAGGGGTGGACAGCTTACGGCTGAAGTACCTCTGGATATCATCCAACTCACTTAGGTTTTTCCTGGAAAAAACACAACAAGCATATTCCTTATTGAAAAGTTACATTGGTGACACTTTCTGTGTGGGCATACAGTAAACACAGTCCTGCCCTATGGGCCATGGTCAAAAGTAGTGCACTACATAGGGAATAGGGTGCCAGATTCTTATGGATGGAGGCACAGTACCTGAGTGCTGAGAACAGAACAGAGCTGGAGGGATGGGCGTCCCCTGCAGCAGCACTGGTGGGTCGGCCCACTCCCCCCTCATGAAGACTCTGGTGGTACAGTCGCACCTTGTCCATGTGCACATCATGCCGGTCACCCTCACTGGACCTGAGACATTGGGGAGGAGGGGAAGAGCAGGAGGAGAAGGAGAGCAGGAGGATTAGGGGGAGAGCAGAAAGGGGGAGAGTGGGGGGGAGGAGGAGGAGGGGGATAGCAGGAAGAAAAAAAGGTAACACCATTACATTTGTTGAAGTGGTTCTCCAAAGTGAATTTCAGGTAGGTTTGTATGATACCATACACTTTATGTTGCATCTCATTGAAACTGATTTCTTGCATGTTAAAGAAAGAATTGTGAGGGACAGAGCTAGAGAGACAAGCCCTAGAGTACCTTTCTGACAGCAGCCTGTCTAGACGGTCGGGTGTGGAGTTGATTCTCTGCTCTGTGTAGCGGCTGATGTGGGAGGGGAAGCTGCTGTATGTGGCTGTGGTGTGGTAGTAGAGGGGGAGAGTCTGGAACAGAGCCTGCCAAATAAACACACGCACCACGGCTGTTAAACCCACAAAGATATTGAAGTAGTACAAAACACTGATGCACTCAAATCCTTTTGTGACTGCTATGAGCCATTCTGGCTCAGAGAAGGCTACTTACCTACATACTAAATGCTAAGTTGCTTTAGGAAGAACCTAATACAGTTTTGCTCATCTCAGGGTCAGACTAACAGTAACAGCCACTGCTGTACTCACTGAGGAGTCTTTGTTGCCATCTTCACACACAGCTTGTCTCTGACCCCGCAGCTCCTGGACTCCCTTCAGTGGGGAGACAGACACTTTGAGCTGGCCCTGGCACTGGCCATTGAAGTCAGTGATGTTGTACCAGCCACACACTGACTGGAAGCCTGACAGGAGAGGGGACAGGTCTACTGAGGCAAACCCAATCACCCGCTCCACATCTAACAAGACACAGGACCAATGAAGAAGTGCATTAAACATTAAAACAACACTAACTTTATCCCCTTCAAGAATTGTTGGCTGTTAGCTAGAGTATTACTGTGTGTTACTACATTGCTGCACTGTACCTCCTTTGTGCCAGACTTTGAACACCAGGGACTGTTGTGGATCCAGAAGAAGTTGCTTTGACAGCCTGTGATTATCAAACAGTATATTAGTTCAGCGTGACATGGTCTGACTGAGGGTGTTCTCAACTAAGCATGTTCCAATAATCTCAACAGCACATTTGTTCATAATCATCCAAACAACCATTAATATGGATTGATAACCTTTACATCTTTGGGCCCATTAAACCTGAATATTACATAAACAGTATGTGTTGCAGGGGTTAAAACAAAAATAAATACCATGAGCAGAGCTGGGCGATATCCCCCCCAAAAATCAATTTTGCGATAAATTGCCTGAATTGATGTGATAATGATAAATAGAACAATACATTTATAACATTAATGTGCACCACAGTTTATTACAATAATCCTTTATTATCGAACTTCACATTTCTCTAGTATAGTCTACTTATCGTAATGAACGATATCAGCTAAATGCCTGCGATAAAGTGATTGGTATGGTTGGTGTTAATTATTTTTGATTTATCGTCCCAGCTCTACCCATGACAAGTCGATCTCAGATCGATTGTCTGAGACCATCAGGGTTTTATGGAAAGAGGATCATTTTGTACATGTATTAAACTGAGTTTTGACCAAATGTTTTAAAAGAATCCATATGACGGAAATCCATCTCAGTGACGGAGAACTTTAACCCCTGTGTGTTGTCTAAAACTCTGAAGTAAGCTATAGATGGTACAAAGGTAGTCTACCTGCACTCCTGCTGGTGGTCCCAGACGGGGCAGTGACTGTCTGCTATGAGAGCTGTGGTGACTGGTTCAGCAGAGTCAGCCGTGATGTAGGACACACAACAACTAGGCAGCCCTCCACTACGCTCAGCTAGAGGACAGCCTGCCAAGGAGACAACACAACACTCACAACCATCAGACTCATCAACAAGATGTTAAAGGAAACAATCAAAATGGATGACCCTACTGGAAGGGATGCGTCCCAAATGGCACCCTATTCCCTATATAGTGAACTACTTTTGATCAGAGCCCTACACAATAGTCAAAAGTAGTGCACTAAATAGGGAATAGGATGCCATTTGGGAAGTAGCCTATGTGTACCTTTAAGACTGAGGTGCATGGCTCTGTCCACAGTGATGGTGACAGTGAAAGTGTCCTCCATGCTGACCTCACAGGGCTGTGAAGGCTCTACACTCATGGAGGACTTGGTCTGGTGCCTGCTGGGTGTTCCAGACTGTCTGGACACAGCTGCTGTGGATGAGGGGCCTCCCTGCCCTCCCTCCTCCTCCTCTCTCTGGCTGTCACAGTCCTCCTGGTCCTGGCTGTCCCCTCCTCCAGGTGTCTGCTCCTCTGGGAGGGATCCAGGGGTCAGGGTGATGTGAACCCTCAGAGCAGCTCCACTCAGATCTGGGGCGGAGCGCCTGAACAGGGGGTACACACCTACACAAACAAAACACAGGTGTGTTACTGACGACCCTTATGTAACATTATATTACAACATAGCATTTACAAAGGCTAGATAGTCATTGATTAGTTCGAGGTCGTCATTGACTGTTAGTTATATCAATACTGTGCTATTTAGTACTTTTTTTCTATTTAACTCTGCTAGTGTCCTTGAGCATCTTGAAAGGAGCAAATAAAATGTATTATTTTTTATTAAAATGTATTATTAGTATTACGTACCACTGAGATTCAGCTTGTGCCTTGCCATCTTGGCCAGGGAGGAGAGGTCCACAAAGGCTGAGCCCACCAGCCGGTCCATGTCATGAGGCCTAGGTCTCCTGACCTTCCCAAAGGCCACCCACACCTGCACCTCCAGCTTCTCCTCCCGGAGGTACCACAGCAGGGGCTGGCTGCTCCTCAGCTCCACTGTCCTGCTTCCTCTGAAGGCCACCGTGGCCAGGCCCTCCTCCCCTCCACCTCCATCCTCCTCCACAGACAGACCAGGGTGTCTGAGCTGGGAGCAGAAGGCCTCTCCGTCGTAGAGTTTATATCTAAAGTAGCAGTAGGTGGAGCGCTGCAGCTCGCTGTGTCCAGGCAGGAGGAGACAGTGGACAGGCAGCCAGGCTCTGGGCATAGACACGGTGAGGGACACGGTCCTCCGAGTCTCAGCCCACGCCTCTCCCTCGTTGGGTGGCTCCTCTTCCTCCTCCTCCACCCCCTCCTCCCTGCCCACCTCCCAGCCCAGGCCCCGGGCGGCAGTGATGACCCTCTCTCTATCTGCATGGTGGGCAAAGTAGATGGAGACGTCCAGGCCGCCCACGAATATGTGATGTCTGGGAGATGAGGTCAGGTCCTGAGGCAGAGACACTCCAAACCACCCACTGATACCTGGGAATTCACAACACATACTGTACTGTTAAGCAGTCTGTTGGTTGGTAAAGACTGTCCCACTGACCTTATAACAGCACTGACTGACTGTATTACACAGCATACTGGACCTGTTCTTTTATGGATGAGATCAGCCAGCTGAATTCTCACTGTACCCAACAGAGTATTCTTTGATCTTGGGCTGACCATCACTGCAGTAATAAAACAAAATGCATAAATACATAAATCACATTGGATCAAGTTTCCATCAGTGTTACATTAGGAAGATGAGCAAACGGTGAAATTACATTGTATAATAACATTTCCTTGTAACAATTGACGTTAATATATAACTTGTAGGATCGAGTACTTGAGCTGCAGTGAACCAATGATTGTCAATTGGATATATTAATGTCTGATATGGCTTTTGTTTACAATTGCACCCAATAAATACATTTATAAATAAAATAATTCATGCAGACAGTATTCTGATTGTATGACTAAACCCCATTGCAGCTGCTTCCTCACCCTTGCGACTGTCTCTATTCCAGACAGTGAAGACAGCTGTGGCCTCCTGCAGGAGCTCAGCCAGGCTGCAGGTCTCCCCAGAGCCCCTCTGGACCTGCATGAACCAATGAATGAATTCATTCATTCATGTTTTATTGTCCCATAGGAAAACGTGTGTGACAACAATACAAGCATTCATCTACATCATGTGAGCTCCATCACCTGCAGTTCACAGGGGAACTCGGTGTGGTGGTCAAACTCTGGGCAGAAGGTCCTGGCGGACACACGGGTACTGCGCCTCTCACTCTCAGGCAGGAAGGAGAGCTGGGCAGTAACGTACACGTTCACCCCAACATCAGCATAGTACTGGAACATTTCATCTTGCTCTGACAAAGCCCTGTAGGAGTGTATGTTTGTTAGAAACAAATTGAGTGTGAATGCAAATGTATTGTAAAGCACTAGGCCGGGTTACTGTAAAGCACTTTGTGACAACTGCTGATATAAAAAGGGCTTTATAAAACAAATTTGATTGAAATGCAGTGAATATTTATCATAGTGCAGCTCCTACTACTCTTAAACCTTTGGATGCCATCTACCATAGTGCCCTTCGTTTTGTTAAAGGTGACAGTTTTCATACTCATCACTGCATCAAAACGTTGGCTGGACTTACTCCTTTTTTATTTACAAGGCCCTACTTCATAAACTTCCGTCTTATCTAATTTTGCTGTTGAAGTATAGACACTTGAGTTGCCTAACCCATTCACAGGATTGGTTAACTCAAGGTTCCTAGGTTCTCCACCGAGCTAGGAAAATCTGCTTTTAGTTTTAATTCACTGTATTTCTTGAACAAAATAAAAAATACATTTAATCTTGATGGTCTGGTGCCGTTCGGGCAATTTAAAGTATTGATTGTGAACTTATTTGTGGAGGAATGTAACTGTTTTCTGGGTGATTTGTGAAGTTTTATTTGTGCTCACCATGACTGTGTTTTTGTATTTTAATGTGTGTGTGAGGGGGGTATAATGTGTATTTATTTATATTGTATTTAACAGGGCGTACTTGGAAAAGAGACCTAGGTCTCAATACGTCATCCCTGTTTAAAATAAAGTTAAAATTAAACAAAATATTCAGAATAGAGATGATTGGAATAGAGAGGGAGACATGGAGGTACCTTGCTGCTGCCTGTAGTCCTGCTGCCCTGTGCACCTGAACCACCATGGTCACCACCCGAGAGACAACCGCCCCCCTTACATCAGAGCTCAACGGACGTTGTTTGTAATGAACATACACATCAAGCAATCCTTGGAGAGTACATACAAAGTTAACTGATCAAATACTGAACAAATGTAAGAAATCTGAAAAGTGTATTGATTTCAGGTTCTGTAACTACAGTACAGCATTGCCAAAAGGAGTGCCTTTGATAAACGGTGTGCGTGTGTGTTACCTGAGGGCTGAGGTTGGCGTCCAGCAGGGCTGTCAGTCCTGGGCATCAGCGGAAGGGAGAAGACCTGGGCTTCAGTGGGCTGTTGTCTCTGCATGGTCACCATGGCACACAGCTTGGACAGGGGCAGCATCCCTTTAGCCACCAGCTGGTCGCGGACATTTGGGTAATAGTACCTGCAAAGGTGGGTCAAATAAATTATATTAAGCCACCACTAAATTGTGTTAAAGTGAAGTCTAAAATAAACAATGGAAGCTTGAGTGCCAATCTGTTTGTGCTATCATGTCAACTTGTCACTCATTGTCATGCCAAACATGGCTTGACAATGACAGCAATTGAGTTGACAAGAACAGAAACAGATCTGGACAAGGCAAAAACAATGTTACATTGTGTATACTGGCCTCTAGTGGTCAGGAAAGACATCACAGATGATGTCCCAAATGGCACCCTATTCCTTATATAGTGCACTACTTTTGAACAGGGCTCACAAACTGACCTGCACCACACTTCAAACAGGATGCCTCCTCCGTTGGTCAGTCCCTGGCTGGAGAAGGAGCTGAGGAGCAGTCTCTGGACTGGGACTCCTACAGGAGCCAGCAGCACATGGCTCTCACTGTGGCCAAACACTGGGTCAGGAACACACAGGGTAGTGGTGGTACGGAACTGCCTCAGATTCACACCTAGAGAGGAGAGAAACGGACAGTACATTAGCAGAGGACAAACAGACAACCTCAAACCCTCATGTCAAACGTGATAAATGTGTATTCAAGGCTAGAACAAGAAACATTTTAGTGCAGTGCTAACTATTATAACATTGAGACAAAGGGCCCTGGTCAAACGCAGTGCACTATATAGGGTATACAGTGAGGGAAAAAAGTATTTGATCCCCTGCTGATTTTGTACGTTTGCCCACTGACAAAGAAATGATCAGTCTAGAATTTTAATGGTAGGTTTATTTGAACAGTGAGAGACAGAATAACAACAAAAAAATCCAGAAAAACGCATGTCAAAAATGTTATAAATTGATTTGCATTTTAATGAGGGAAATAAGTATTTGACCCCCTCTCAATCAGAAAGATTTCTGGCTCCCAGGTGTCTTTTATGCAGGTAACGAGCTGAGATTAGGAGCACACTCTTAAAGGGAGTGGTCCTAATCTCACCTTGTTACCTGTATAAAATACACTTGTCCACAGAAGCAATCAATCAATCAGATTCCAAACTCTCCACCATGGCCAAGACCAAAGAGCTCTCCAAGGATGTCAGGGACAAGATTGTAGACCTACACAAGGCTGGAATGGGCTACAAGACCATCGCCAAGCAGCTTGGTGAGAAGGTGACAACAGTTGGTGCGATCATTTGCAAATGGAAGAAACACAAAATAACTGTCAATCTCCCTCGGCCTGGGGCTCCATGCAAGATCTCACCTCGTGGAGTTGCAATGATCATGAGAACGGTGAGGAATCAGCCCAGAACTACAAGGGAGGATCTTGTCAATGATCTCAAGGCAGCTGGGACCATAGTCACCAAGAAAACAATTGGTAACACACTACGCCGTGAAGGACTGAAATCCTGCAGCGCCCGCAAGGTCCCCCTGCTCAAGAAAGCACATATACAGGCCTGTCTGGTTTGCCAATGAACATCTGAATGATTCAGAGGAGAACTGGGTGAAAGTGTTGTGGTCAGATGAGACCAAAATCGAGCTCTTTGGCATCAACTCAACTCGCCGTGTTTGGAGGAGGAGGAATGCTGCCTATGACCCCAAGAACACCATCCCCACCGTCAAACATGGAGGTGGAAACATTACGCTTTGGGGGTGTTTTTCTGCTAAGGGGCCAGGACAACTTCACCGCATCAAAGGGACGATGGACGGGGCCATGTACCGTCAAATCTTGGGTGAGAACCACCTTCCCTCAGCCAGGGCCTTGAAAATGGGTATTCCAGCATGACAATGACCCAAAACACACGGCCAAGGCAACAAAGGAGTGGCTCAAGAAGAAGCACATTAAGGTATTGGAGTGGCCTAGCCAGTCTCCAGACCTTAATCCCATAGAAAATCTGTGGAGGGAGCTGAAGGTTCGAGTTGCCAAACGTCAGCCTCGAAACCTTAATGACTTGGAGAAGATCTGCAAAGAGGAGTGGGACAAAATCCCTCCTGAGATGTGTGCAAACCTGGTGGCCAACTACAAGAAACGTCTGACCTCTGTGATTGCCAAGAAGGGTTTTGCCACCAAGTACTAAGTCATGTTTTGCAGAGGGGTCAAATACTTATTTCCCTCATTAAAATGCAAATCAATTTATAACATTTTTGACATGCGTTTTTCTGGATTTTTTTGTTGTTATTCTGCCTCTCACTGTTCAAATAAACATACCATTAAAATTATATAGACTGATCATGTCTTTGTCAGTGGGCAAACGTACAAAATCAGCAGGGGATCAAATACTTTTTCCCCCTCACTGTATGGTGGGACACAGACAAAGACAAGAAATGTAAACATTAGCTATTTGCTTACTGCACTCTAAAAGATTTGGGTCCAGACTTTGAGCAGGAGGCTCCTCCTGAGTAGGGAAGGTGTACTGGACATAACAGTCAGCCTCCCCCCAGACTGTAGACTGTAGTGGTGTCAGCCCCTTCACGCTCTCCACTTTCACCACAAATAGGTGCTCTCTCATAGACTCCTCGGGAGACGGCTTCACCTGGAGGATAACAAGGATCAAACTGTTACAAGGACCTCTGTAATTGAATTTAATCTGAAATCCTGGACTTGTATGAATAACATTGAGCAGCGAAATCCTGAAACAACTTGATTAAAAACAACATTTTAAAGACAAAAAAAAAAAGAATAGTTAATAACATTTTGTTCCTTATGTGGTTGGTGATCCAGCAAATGGGCTGGTCTTGGGAGATGAGACACAGAGGCAAGTTCTTCCTCCCGCATACACTGCAGAGATACTATTTGGCCAGATAGGCCCATGGCTAGAAGCACCCGGAGGTTGCCCTTGATAATGCCTGAAAACACGTCAATGACTGGCATGTAGCTGTCCACCCCTAACACTGGGTACTGAGCTTGCAGCAGAAGGTGGGAAATCTTGGGGTCTCTGAAAAAGAAAGAAGAATGAATCAACCAAAAACACATTGCATTGAGTAGTTGTTTCCATAATAACAGGTATTATATGATTTATTTATATATAGTACAAAGGGTGAGTTATAACAAGATATTCTTTTTGAAACCCTTCCCTCACCTGAAGGACATGTAGAACTGGTGGAGGGGTAGTTTGACCAGCCCTAGGAGCCGATCCTGCCCTGAGCTTCCTGCTCTCTGCCAAACCTCAATCACCATCACATTGTTCCTCATCCTATCCAACAGCCTCGAGGTCAAGGCCACAGGAGCCACCTGAGAAACACAGTATTTAAACTCAACATCTAACAAGCAGATATAATCACATTATAAGGGCACCCTATTCCCTTTATAGTGCACTACTTTTGACTAGGCTGAGGGCCCATTTGGGAGGTGTTTTCATTGCCTGTGTTATAAATACCCTTAGCCAGTGGAGGACGGTAGGAGGAGCTATAGGAGGACGGGCTCACTGTAATGGCTGGAATGGAATCAATGGAACGGTATCAAACATATGGAAACTACATGTTTGACTCCGTTCCATTTAGACCATTCCAGCCATTACAATGAGCCCGTCCTCCTATAGCTCACCCCACCAGCCTCCTCTGCCCTTAGCTGCATCACACTGACAGGGTATAAAATTATCTGTTCCTTCAGTTACCTGTACAAAGTTGAACGAGGGGTTTGTCTGGCCCCAGCTGGTCACTGATCTGGACGTCTCATCCTGGCCAAAGAGCTTACAGTTCAGGTAGACATTAGGAGGCTGCATGGGTCCACAGTTAAAGTCCTTTCCATTAGGCACCATGAGCAAAGCATGCAGCAGCACCTCACTGTCCTCCTCCTCCACCACCACCTGATAGGCCTGAGGTCTGTGAGGAGATGTCTGGAGGCTGGTGAGAGGTGAGGGACCTTGTGGGGAAATAAGAAAAATATTTATGTGACTGATTTTTGGTTCCTAGTACTCCTTTTATTTGTTTACACACGAGGATTTGAGTTGAGCATGTTCTCTTCCTTTACTGACCTTGAGGGGCCACAGGTCTTTTTCCCGTCCTGGAATCTCTATTAGTAACAGTAGATAGAGGAATATCCTCCCCTCTTGTGTCCTGATGCTGAGGCCTAATGGTCGTCATGTCCACCCTGGAGGGGCTAGCATCTCTCTGGGGACTGGTCAGGGCACGGGAGGGGGCTCTGGAACCAGCTCCAGCTGACCTTTGACCATTGGCTGATGAGAAATCTTTGTTGTCTGCAGCCAATTCAAGTGACACCTGGAGAAACAAAGAGGGAGATTTATTGAGATAATGAGTAATATTCCAACACTACACTCAACAACATGTCAACAACCTCCTAAATATGATGAACGTAACAAAGGCAGTGTCCCAAATGGTACCCTATTCCCTATGTAACCCTAATCCCTATGGGCCCTGATCAAAAGTATGGCACTATAAAGGGAATAGGGTGCCATTTGGGATGTACACAAAATGGTGGACAGTGGCAGGCAGGCTCACCTTGAGGGAGCCGATGTCCTGGCTCTCACCAGTCCCCTGCAGACTCTGGACAGGGAGAATGATAGTCTGACTCAGCTGTTCCCTCTGCAGAAGACATCGGAGTGGGAACACAGCCTTGCCAATGGCTATAGGCTGCAGAACACAACACAGAACACATCCATGAGCATTCAGGTGCAATATACCATCTATATACTATCTATACATACAGTGCATTCGGAAAGAATTCAGACCCCTTGACATTTTATTACGTTACAGCCTTATTCTAAAATTGATTAAATTGTTTGTTTTTTCTCCACATCAATCTACACACAATACCCCATAAAGACAAAGCAAAAACTGTTTTTTAAAGACATTTTTGCTAATGTAATACAAATTAGAAATATCACATTTACATAAGTATTCAGACCCTTTACTCAGTACTTTGTTGAAGCACTTTTGGCAGCGATTACAGCCTCGAGTCTTCTTGGGTATGATGCTACAAGCTTGGCACACCTGTATTTGTGGAGTTTCTCCCATTCTTCTCTGCAGATCCTCTCAAGCTCTGTCAGGTTGGATGGGGAGTGTCGCTGCACAGCTATTTTCAGGTCTCACCAGAGATGTTCAAATCGGGTTCAAGTCCGGGCTCTGGCTGGGCCACTCAAGGACATTCAGAGACTTGTCACGAAGCCACTCCTGCGTTGTCTTGGCTGTGTGCTTAGGGTCATTGTCCTGTTGGAAGGTGAACCTTCGCCCCAGTCTGAGGTGCTGAGTGCTCTGGAGCAGGTTTTCATCAAGGATCCCTCTGTACTTTGCTCCGTTTATCTTTCCTTCGATCCTGATTAGTCTCCCAGTCCCTGCCGCTGAAAAACATAACCACAGCATGATGCTGCCACCACCATGCTTCAATGTAGGGATGGTGCCAGGTTTCCTCCAGACGTGACGCTTGGCATTCAGGCCAAAGAGTTCAATCTTGGTTTCATCAGAACAGAGAATCTTGTTTCTCATGGTCTGTCAGAGTGACCATCGGGCTCTTGGTCACCTCCCTGACCAAGGCCCTTCTCCCCCAATTGCTCAGTTTGGCCGGGAGGCCAGCTCTAGGAAGAGTCTTGGTGGTTCAAAACGTCTTCCATTTAAGAATGATGGAGGCCTCTGTGTTCTTGGGGACCTTCGAAGCTGCAGAAAGTTTTTGGTATCCTTCCCCAGATCTGTGCCTCGACACAATCCTGTCTCGGAGCTCTACGGACAATTCCTTCGACCTCATGGCTTGGTTTTTGCTCTGACATGCACTGTCAACTGTGGGACCTTATATAGACAGGTGTGTGCCTTTCAAAATCTTGTCCAACAAATTGAATTTACCACAGCTAGACTCCAATCAGGTTGTAGAAACATCTCAAGGATGATCAATGGAAACAGGATGCACCTGAGCTCAGTTTCAAGTCTCATAGCAAAGGGTCTGAATACTTATGTAAATAAGGTATTTCTGTTTTGTTTGCAAAAAAAAAAAAAACTGTTCGCTTTGTCATTATGGGGTATTGTGTGTAGATTGATGAGGATATACACTACTGTTCAAAAGTTTGAGGTCACTTAGAAATGTTCTTGTTTTCGAAAGAAAAGCAAATTTGTTGTCCATTAAAATAACATCAAATTGATCCGAAATACAGTGTACACATTGTTAATGTTGTAAATGGCTATTGTAGCTGGAAACGGCTGATTTTTAATGGAATATCTACATAGGAGTAGTTTTTGGTATCTCTGCCTAGGTCAGCATCCTGGAGTCGCCTCTTCACTGTTGACGTTGAGACTGTTGTTTTGCGGGTACTATTTAATGAAGCTGCCAGTTGAGGACCTGTGAGGCATCTGTTTCTCAAACTAGACACTAATGTATTTGTCCTCTCGCTTAGTTGTGCACCGGGGCCTCCCACTCCTCTTTCTATTCTGGTTAGAGACAGTTTGCGCTGTTCTGTGAAGGGAGTAGTACACAGCGTTGTACGAGGCGTTGCATGGCGTTGCAAAATGGAGTGATAGCCTTCCTTCTTCAAGATCCCTTTTACCCTGTACAAATCTCCCACTTTACCACCACGAAAGCACCCCCAGACCATCACATTGCCTCCACCATGCTTGACAGATGGCATCAAGCACTCCTCCAGCATCTTTTCATTTGGTCTGCGTCTCACAAATGTTCTTCTTTGTGATCCGAACACCTCAAACTTCGATTTGTCTGTCCATAACACTTTTTTCCAATCTTCCTCTGTCCAGTCTGTGTTCTTTTGCCCATCTTAATCTTTTATTTTTATTGGCCAGTCTGAGATATGGCTTTTTCTTTGCAACTCTGCCTAGAAGGTCAGCATCCCAGAGTCGCCTCTTCACTGTTGACGTTGAGACTGGTGTTTTGCGGGTACTATTTAATGAAGCTGCCAGTTGAGGACCTGTGAGGCATCCGTTTCTCAAACTAGACACTAATGTATTTGTCCTCTCGCTCAGTTGTGCACCGGGGCCTCCCACTCCTCTTTCTATTCTGGTTAGAGACAGTTTGCGCTGTTCTGTGAAGGGAGTAGTACACAGCGTTGTACGAGATCTTCAGTTTCTTGGCAATTTCTCGCATGGAATAGCCTTCATTCCTCAAAACAAGAATAGACTGACGAGTTTCAGAAGAAAGTTATTTGTTTCTGGCAATTTTGAGGCTGTAATCGAACCCACAATTGCTGATGCTCCAGATACTCAACTAGTCTCAAGGCGGCCAGTTTTATTGCTTCTTTAAATCAGCACAACAGTTTTCAGCTGTGCTAACATAATTGCAAAATGGTTTTCTAATGATCAGTTAGCCTTTTAAAATGATAAACTTGGATTAGCAAACAACGTGCCATTGGAACACAGGACTGATGGTTGCTGATAATGGGCCTCTGTAGATAATGGGCCTCTATGTAGATATTCCATTACAAATTTACATTTACATTACATTTTAGTCATTTAGCAGACGCTCTTATCCAGAGCGACTTACAGTTAGTGAATACATATTTTTTTTACATTGGCCCCCCGTGGGAATCGAACCCACAACCCTGGCGTTGCAAACGCCATGCTCTATCAACTGAGCTACATCCCTGCCGGCCATTCCCTCCCCTACCCTGGACGACGCTGGGCCAATTGTGCGCCGCCCATGAGTCTCCCGGTCGCGGCCGGCTGCGACAGAGCCTGGATTCGAACCAGGATCTCTAGTGGCACAGTTAGCACTGCGATGCAGTGCCTTAGACCACTGCGCCACTCAGGAGTACAATCAGCCGTTTCCAGCTACAGGAGTACAATCAGCCGTTTCCAGCTACAATAGCCATTTACAACATTAACAATGTCTACACTGTATTTCTGATCAATTTGATGTTATTTTAATGGACAAAAAAAATGCTTTTCTTTCGAAAACAAGGACATTTCTAAGTGACCCCAAACTTTTGAATGGTAGTGTATATATTTTTAATCCATTTTAGAATAAGGCTGTAAAAGTCAAGGGGTCTGAATACCTTCCGAATGCACTGCACATAACTTTGGTAAAGCAGCACAGAGACTTGGTTACTGTACAATAAAACATAAAAGAGAGTCGATTTTTGTTGTCATACAAGTGTCCACATACTTTCTTCTGGGAGCTTTTCCTGGAGTAGATGTTAAATGAGAGTTCTGTTCCCCACCACTGCTTAATAGTTGACCCACTGAAGTGGACAGGAAACACACCTCGCCGCTGGAAGTTCACCACTACAATGCAGAGTGAGACAGACATCTTTAACAAAACCTTCATGTTATCATTCCTAATAATGCACAATACAAAATGTAATATCAAACTCTCTGATAATGCTAAAGAAATGGGCATGCGTCCTAAATGGCACCAAAAGTAGTGCACTATATAGGGAATAGGGTGCCATAAGGGACACAATCTTTGACAATGTGAAAAGTCTTACCTCCTCCTGTAACTTTACTAGAGAAGACTTGTGTCACCTCTGCTGCCATGGCCTGACTAGGATCATGCCTGCTGGAAGCTACGGGGAACAGGTACTCCACAAAATAGGAGCTATGAAAAGAGAGACTGACATGTAGCAGGAGCAGACATATAATAAAATAAATAAATTGGTAATTTAGCAGACGCTCTTATCCAGAGCGACTTACAGGAGCAATTAGGGTTAAGTGCCTTGCTCAAGGGCACATCGACAGATTTTTCACCTAGTCGGCTCGGGGATTAGAACCAGCGACCTTTCGGTTACTGGCACAACGCTCTTAACCACTAAGCTACCTGCCGCCCCTATTAGGACATAGGACTTCTGTATTATAATGGTAATCAAACAAAAGGCGAGACAAACATATTAAACATTGGGCGTGTTAGCTTTGCATCCTAAAGTGAAATCTCCACTCAGCCAGGGAACCAAGTGATGCAAAACGAATGTGCCCATTGGCATGTTTCATTATGGTGCATACCATTTCTTAGAAGAGAGGGGTCGAGGAGGTTTCCCTTTGCCAGAGATCTTCCTAGGTGTGGTGGTGGTGCTGTCTGGAGGCACAGTCAGGGAGTGGATCACCACTCTGGCCAACCGAACCCCACCTAGGACAGTGAGCTGATCCATACTCAGCCCAGGAAGCATATCCTCAGTCCCTGGATTCTGCACATCTTCTAAGTCCAGGCTGACATAGAAGGTTCATTACTGTACAATGACTTACGACATTTTGAAATCTTCAATATATCTTTAGAAAGTAAAGACAGAGACACCAGTAGAGACAACAGCATAAATGAGGATAACTGACCCTCCACTTTTCTTTGGACCAGAGTGCCTCAGCTCTTCACCATCACCACTCTTCTTGAGATTCTTCTTTGGAGAAGGACCAGCCTTGTCGTCATCACTTGGACCGTTGTTACACATCTGAAGGACACAGAGGTAAAATAGTGACCCTAAAGGCTACAGTATTGCCAACGTAAACATCTATGGTAATATTTAATATCATATTTTCCATGATCCTGCTTTTTCAAACTTATGCACCTATAACTGACAACATTTTGTATTAAGGACTATAAAAAAGTGCAGATGGCCACCTATTGTTTCCTTGGTAAACAGAGGACTAGCGTTACTGACTAATGGCAGACACTCACAGGAGCTTTGTAGAAGAGGTTCTCTAGCAGGCTCTGGTCATACTGTGGGTCATTGAGTTCACTGTCTCCATACACACTGAGGAAAGAATCAGGAGGAGAGCCCTCTCCATCCCAGATAGGGAGAGCAGATCCGTTCAAACTAACAAGAGGAGAGAGAACACAACACACATAGTTACTTATACAACTATACTGCACAGTTACTTATACAGCTACAACGTATAACCAACTTGATACCAATTAAATCAAATCAAATGTTATTTGCCACAAGCGCCGAATACAACAGGTGTAGACCTTACAGTGAAATGCTTACTTACAAGCCCTTAACCAACAATGCAGTTTTAAGAAAAAAAGTGTTAAGTAAAAAATAAAAAATAAAAATAATTGAAGAGCAGCAGTAAATTAAAATAACAGTAGGGAGGCTATATACAGGGGGTACCGGTACAGAGTCAATGTGGTCCTCTGTAGCTCAGCTGGTAGAGCACGGCGCTTGTAACGCCAAGGTAGTGGGTTCGATCCCCGGGACCACCCATACACAAAAAATGTATGCACGCATGACTGTAAGTCGCTTTGGATAAAAGCGTCTGCTAAATGGCATCTTATATTATTATTATATTATTATATTATAATGTGCGGGGGCACCGGTTAGTCGAGGTAATATGTACATGTGGGTAGAGTTACTAGGTAAAGACACAGTTTTGTTTGTTTCTTCATATGCTAAGATGGGGGTAAGGTAAGGCTACCTGCCCAGCAGCAGATCCACTGCCCTGTTCTCAGTGTCAGCAGCAGTACAGTCTGGGCTGAGGTAGTCTGGGGGACTGTGGGGAGACTGCAGGAGATTGGAGTCAGCATGCAGAATGTTCTGCAGTAGCCTTCCACAGGGAGGAATGGACGGCCTAGAGAAACAAAAACAAGACGAGTTCCCTAAGCCATTCATACATCTATGAGAGAGATTTTTAAAAGGCCTGGAGCCATATGTATCAAGCATCTCAGAGTATGTGCACTGATGTAGGATCAGATCCCCCCTATCCATGTAGTCTCATGCCTTATGATTTAAAGGGCAAAACTGATCTTAAATCAGCACTCCTATGTATTCTGAGAAGCTTGAAACATATGGCCCCTGATCTCAGTTTAATACTAACATTGGTGGTGCTCCTATGTTGTCCTTTGGAAGAGGTAGAGGAGTGTCTTTTAAAGCCAGTTCAGTGTTCATGTCAGACTTTAAAGCTGATACCACCATGGCATTTCTAAGCTTGCTTCCACGCTCTAAAAGAACTAAAACAGGAAAGGATACAGTAGGGATGTTAGCAGAAGATAGACAGTTTCTCTATTGTACAAATATATGATCCCTTTTACAGTATGTACATCCTGATGCTGTAGTAGGCTACAACCTGAGAGTATGTCGTTGGCAGCCTGTCCGTGAGGCGATTCCTGCACTGTGGGATTTGCCACTCCCTGTCCATGTTGAGATCTACTATATGTTGGCTTTTGGTTCTCAAGTGCCACGTCAGTCTTTTTTTCCGTCCTGGCATTTTGGAAGTACAAATGGTCTTTCCCTCTGAAAATATTACAAAAGCATGAAAGCATCACTGAAAAACGAGAGAGAGAAGCTGCTTGAACAGAAAGTAGGTCTATAAGATTAGGTAGACTATGTCTACCTTGGCGTATTGCTCCCTGATTCTTTCCCACTGTTGACAGAGAGTGGTCTGGACAAGGAGGGCACCACCAGAATGTTTGGCTGAGATGCTGGCTTCAATGTGGACCCGAATGCAGACATAGCCGTTTCGATACTCATGTCTGTGGTGGGAACTGAGCAGCTGCTGTCGTATGTTTCAGTCAGGGCCTCCAGAGCAAGCGATACCTGGAAAAAAGGTTAATCAAGAACAATCTGTATATAGACTCATCCAATTCACAGATGCCTTTTAACAGAGAATTTGGGAAACGCAAGATAAACCACAAAGCATCTATCAGAATTAAATAACACATTTTCAATTGGGTTGCTGCCTCCCTACCTGTAATTCTCCAAGCTTCTCAGACGTTGGAGACACCAGAGTGAAGAACCCACTGATGGAGTGTGACAGAGAGAGACGAGAAATCCCAGCAACCTGAGCACGAGCAATTGGCAGGTGTTCTGGCTTTGTCAGCACCTCCAGCACCAGAGAGCCCATATCTGTAATACAGACAACACATTTAGGGAAAATCAACATCAGGTCATTTGAATATTTTGAAGCCAGCTTGGATCACACAATGTGGCATACCATGCATGCAAGAGTTACCTGTTAAGTAGGATGTGAACTGCTTCGGTCCACATCGGATGGGAAAGCGAGCTGTGGACTTCACGGTCTTCTGTGCCGTTTGTGACGCATCCCGTGGTTTGAACTGGGTCCCAATGGACGACTCTCCCCACCAGCGCAATCTGATAAAAGTTGTCGGGAAAGGCTTGGGGACTGTCCATAAAACTCTGCTTACTGTCACTCGTAGAAAGCATCGCAGCTGACCCTCAACCAGAGGAGGGAGGCTTGTGGAGGGGGACACATCACTGGGGACTGCGAAACAAAATATTGTCAATGTACCTTACATGATGTTACTTTATATCGTAAAAGTAGTTTCTACTACTTGTTTAAAAAATAATTACAAGCTCTGGTCAACGTGCATGAGTCGGATCTGCAATACGACGCATGCGCCTGGACAAAAGGCTGTCTGGCGGTAAAAAGTCGTTTATTTCGTATTTTGGAGAAATGACACCCTGTTCATACTGAGAAAAGTCATTCAGCACCCTAGAAACATCTTTACTTTGGTGTGTTACAAAAGTATATGGAGCCAGTTGAAGTTACTAAACACAATCAGTACAGCAGGTAACGTTAACTGTTGTTTTCGCGCGATGGACCAGAGCTAGCTAGCAGCAACAAACAAGCGACATAAATTGGCTTAGCTACTAGGTCCATCAATTAGCAAGTATTCACTATATCCATTTAATTAGCATGCAACTAACTAGTTAGCAGTAAGCAGCTTCAAATGAGAATCTACATTTTCCACCAGTCACCACACAGCTCGCTAACGTTAGCTAGCTACTGAGATTGACGTTACTAGTCGTAGCTAGCTACCTTTCTTCCTGTTGCTTCCAATTTTGGCAGACTTCAATTTTTTTGTCTTCATTCCTTACCAATCAATGTGATATTTTTGACAATATTAAGCCTAAATTACATTCTGTAAACAAGTTGTCAGTGCAAACTGGCCCTGAGCAACAACGTTCGTTAACTTTCCCCAGTCCCGCCTCTAATCTAAAGACTGCCGCTGTTGTCCCGTGGTGCACTGTGGGAAGTTGAGTCATTGGGACTCCCCAACCTCTCATCACCAGCACCAGTCACCACCAGAGAGCAGCCCTGTTCTGTACAATACTGTAATGTATCAGATCCACCATCATCATAAAGGGTGAAACTAAAATCAACGTTCACAAATCCTAGTCTTCAATTCTTTGTGGCTACTGGGTTTGCAGGCTTTTGTTCCAAACCCTGCGGTAACACACAATTCAGCAATTCAAGATCTTGATGAGCAGCTTATACGTAAATCCAGATGTGCTAGAGCCCTCAAATTCAAATCTGGACCTTGAAGCCAGTTCTACTGCTTTTTTTCATGCTTCCACTCTAATCAGGGACTGATTTAGACCTGGGACACCAGGTGGGTGCAATTCATATTAAGTAGAACAAAAAAACAGCAGTAGTACAGACTTTGTAGGGTAAGATTTGAATACGCCTGTGCTAGAGGCTAGAGCGGGGCTGGAACAAAACCCTGCACACATGCACCCAGTAGCCACCCCCGTTGTACACAGTAGCCTACTGATATAAAGTTCTGGTGCCACATGGCATCAAAGATCCACATTTTAATATCCCATTACTCTAGTTTATTTCCACTTGATCTACCAGACATTGGTTGCAACATATACCATTTTACTTCTCTACAATACAGTGTGTTCTTCTGGTCGTTGTAGGTTGATGATCTACTGTAAGTTTCCTCTCCTGATACAAGTCACATGTCTCAAATAGAGACTGTTTGGACAGTGAAGAAGAAACTATTCTTCTTCTTCTTTGGTATTATGCCAGTCTGCAAACAAACTAGGAAGAAACTATAAAGTGCCTAGCAACTACGACCTCAGAAGCCATGTGTGTTGTAGTGATTGGGGCAACACTGAGTGCCAATGGATAGGAATTCCCACAGAGCAAAGTAAAGGCCTGTGAACTGAGGAAATTGCAAGTTTCACTGTTTCACAGCAGTCTAGTGTAAAAGAAAGCCACCACTTTTAGAAGAAACACTTATTGTCTGCCACTTTACTACAGTTGCAATAGTTTACATGTATGCAACAAATTGGTGCTGTAGCATAGCATTTCCCATTTTGTATGTTACATGGTTGGCTAAGACACTATTCAGTGTTCTATGACAATATTTCAGTCACCAAAATTGAGTTAAGCACAATCAGTGTTTCTGCAAAGTAAGCCTGTTCCACAACTTCATCAGTAGGGTTGGTCAGCGCATCTTTTAAATGTTTTATGCCAGATGGAGTATGATGGCATTTAGTCGCATTAAAATGATAATTACCTCCAGCTTTATTCTGCCCACTAATCCTGTTAGCAATTTCTATGTACCACATCAAATCAACCCCTCCCAACTGTGTAATTCTGCATTGACTTATATATTGAATATTATGCATTGAATATTACGACCACTTCTCTTTTCCAACTGCGGTCTGGGATTCCAAATGTAGTGTTAGTTCACCCAGTACCAGATGTCTCAGAGGGAACACCATTGTCATGCACTCGTTGAACTTCCTTGTTGTCATAGATGCAGTAATAGATAAACCTCTTAGCCAGAGTTTGGGAGGGCTCAACAATTAGACAGTACAGTACACTCAAATACAATAACACAATACGTGTCCTGTGCTCTCATATTAGACAGTTACATGGAATCAGACTGTACACTGATTTCCATATGCATTGCTTGGGCCAGTCAGGAATGAACGCAGTGTACGAGAGGAGAAATTCAATTTCCTCAATGTGCAACGTCAACTATAAATAGTCTGCTGAATGTAAGCATAGTAAATATGCTTTTGTGTGTATTTTGTTTTAAATGCTTAGTAATGAGGCAGACATAACTTTAACAAAAATGTGTATTTATTTTAAAACCATATAAAGATTGAGAATTCCAGAGAATACTAATTTTCTTGGTTGGAGAAACTCCAAAGGCTTAACCTCCATCCTCCATGCATTTTATCAAGCATGGGCCTCCTGTCAATCCATTCCAGGGGGAACAATCAAGGTCTACTGTTTATGAATGCAGCTGGGAGCATGCAGCATTCCTGTAGTATATGGCCCCTGTGTTTGTATCTGTGTGTGTGGTGTGTGTGTGTGTGTGTCTAAAGGGGAGGAGTGGTATGGGGTTGTGCACTGGAGAGAATACTTCCTTACATCCCAGCAGGCAGAGATATAGTCCCTGTTGAACCCCTCTCCCTTCCTCAACACTCCCTGTCACTCAAAAGGCAGCAGCCCGCCCAAAGAATCACACTCACAGAAAAGCCCCTTGGAGCCTACAGTTCCTATAGTACATTTTACTCCTCACTCTCTCCTCATAGACTAGGTGTGAAAGCTGGCATGCGCACTCTGACCTACATACAGACAAATCTTTTGGCTGGTTGGTATGCAGCTAGACACCCAGGATTTGAGGTAAGAGACTCGGTACTAAAGCAGATGTGTTCCCACTTCCCAATCATCTGGTTTACAGACATTTTACATTTTAGTCATTTTAGCAGACGCTCTTATCCAGAGCGACTTACAGTTAGCGAGTGCATACATTTTCATATAGACCATGACTAATGAACGATGCATCTGAATGGGAGTTAGAAGACTAAACAGGTTTGACTCATATCCATCCCATTAGCTACAAGGAGATGAGCAATAGAGAACACACCAAATGACATCAAGCCCCTCAGTGGGAGAGACGGTTACCTCATCTCCTTTGGTTTCCTGAACTGACTGAGCATGAATAGGAAACAGTCACAATAACCCTTTTCCTCAATCACAGCACCGCTCTTAACTACATTCTTAAGGTGTAAGATGGTTACAGAAATATAATTCTAAAACTAAATATTCTGATAAAGATCAGTGCTGCGCTAATGAGATCAGTCTGTGTGAAGAGTATCCTGCCAGATTCAGTGCATCAATTTTCAAAAGGCTGCATTATACGTATTTTTATTTTTTCAAAACAAACTGACACCGGAGGCAAACAGCCTAGCAGAGTTAACTGAAACCAGCCCAGTGTGTGAGGGTAGAGGCCTCTCTCTCTCTCTCTCTCTCTCTCTCTGCTCCAGCAGGGACAGACTGGGGAGTTGGAGCAAGAGGCCGCTCTGCCTTTGGGGCCAAATGCCCCCTCCACCCCCTCCTCCTTCCCAAAACCAGCTCAGCCCCCTGCCATTCCAGCCCCCTCCAGCAGTGTCTGTGCTCCTTGTTCCCTTGGGCCTGAAGCTCCAATCACAAGGCTGCTCCTTGGTTGCCTTCCCCTCCCCCAGCTGCTAGCTCTCTCTCATGCCCTCTTGCTCCCTCTCTCGTTCCCTCCCTCTCTCTGCCTGCGTGGTGCGCGCGGCTCCATTGTGGAGGCGGACTCTTGTACTCCAAGTGGTCCCAGCAGCTGCTTTCTCCCCTCTCACTCCTCAGGATTGGGGCTGCAGCGTCTCTGGAACTCCTGGCCGTACTCATGGATCCATTTGTTAGCCACTGGAACAGGGCATGGACAGAGAGTATGTGTTAGTGGTGTATGTCACACAGTAGTCAAACAAACATCAAATATAATATACAGGTCTGTAAAAAGGAGTCGTTAAATACTCACTGACCCCCTAAAAGTGTAGACAAACATTTGTATATTTATATGGATCTCTTGTATAGAACCATCAATAATGGGAAATGGGGCCCCATTTCCTTGTTATAATGATGTGGAATGGAGGCCCACATGTTTAGCATCCCAGAGCAGTGCTCAGTGCCTGACCTCTCTATATCGTACCTAACACTATCTGTGTAATGCAGTGCAGATGTGGCCCCGGGCTCCTGCTGTGACTTCAGTATGACAGACAGGGGCTCCTGGAATAGACGTAGGGTCCTTAGCTTTCCACATCTGACACTGCTCACTGTACCTGTATGTTTTTCTATAGGAACTATGTGGAGTTCCCGGTTGTCTCATTAAAGCCTCTTACCCCATTTGTCCCCAACAAGGACAGGGCAGCCAGCATGCAGAGTGTCCCCATCTCCTTGACCGTTCCTATGGAGGTTCCACCAGAAGAGGGCAGCATTCTAGAACATGAGAGACATTGGAAATGTGTCACTAAAAACATTGGAAATAAACATTTTAAATCGTGCCTGGATTTTGTGTGGGCCACTATCGTGCCTGGAATTTGTATGGTCTACTCCTCTACTTGACAATCCTAAGCCATTGTTCCTCCATTAAAATTCAATTTTGTATACGTGTAAGTTAAAATCCCACGTGCATAGCTGTGCTCCAAGTACAACATATTTGACATGGATATGGGGACATGGAAAGGGTTCCCAGTGAGACATTTTTGCCAACACTTGAGGCAGGAAGTGAAACCTGAATAAAATCCAGGTTGAGAGGTTAAAACCTGGTGAGGTCCTGTGTCTTTTCAACAGCAGCACATTTATTAAACCAAACACTACACTGTGGCTGCGTAACCAAATGGCATCAGATTCCCTATATAATGTACTACTTTTGACCATGGTCCTGATCAAAAGTAGTACACTATAAAGGGAATTGGGTGCCATTTGGGAGACAGCCTTTGGCTCCTCTTTTCTCAACAGGCCTACTGTCATAAGAACAGTACTACTCAACAGTACTACTCAAAACATTTAAAGAAATGATATGACCTTTCTGAGGAAGGAATCTCTCATTATTCTTCATTTAACAGCTGCACAGAGTGAAGGCTTATGAGCGTACGTGTTCTGGCTTGAAGCAATTTCGATGGGTAAACAGAAGAAGATTAAGGCTTTGTCCCAAATAGCACCCTATTCCCTATATAGTGCACTACTTTTGACAAACAGCCTGGTAAAAAAAGTAGTGCACTATGTAGGGAATAGGGTGCCATTTGGGACACATCTTAAGTTTAGCCAGCAGCTGACGTGTGCGGTGCATTTACCTCCACAACAGGAACGCTGAAGTTAGCATGGATGAAGGCTGTGGACCCACCTGCGTCCACAGAGCTGAGCTGTGGAGGATGACAACATTCTCACTGAGTTGTGTCTTGTCTAGCACATGTCATAAAAAAGCCATCCGTGCCGGAATACAGAGTTTTGAGTTTGTCAAAAACTCACAAGCAGACATTATTTTCCATACCGCCTTAACTGGAAGTTTGACATTGGACTAAAGATATCTCATTGCAATTTCACTAAGAACATACTGAATTCTGATGCTGATAGAAGCAATCTAGTGTACAGTCTCTCCAAAGATGCTTTTACTGGATTTGCACAAATGAGACAAGCATGCACATATAATAAGATAACAAGATAAAACAAATTATTAACTTACGTATATCATGAAGGTTGCCACTCGATTCCCAGTGTTGAGCCTAAAAAGGGGGCTTGATGCTGACTGGTTACATGTAGGAAATAGTATTCATAAATATATGTCCTTACTTTACCGCCAAAGACAATAGCTACGTCTCAAATGGCATTCTATTCCCTATATAGAGCACTACTTTATCAAAAGTAGTGCACTAGGGCAGTGGTTCCCAAACTGGGGGGCGCGCCCGGCAGGGGGGGGGCGGGAAGCGCGGGTACCCCTCCCCAAAATAAGTTGTAATAGTAGAATGCACAAGGTGCAATTTTGAAATTGGATAGTGCATCATCAGTTTTCCTCGTCATGTCAGTGTGTCTGAGTGAAAAAGTTTAGGAACCCCTGTACTAGGAAATAGGGTGACGTTTGGGACACAGCCCATCACAAACACACAAAATGAGGGTACAGTATTGCATTAAGTGTTTATTAATGTAGTAAATGTAGGGTTTATTCAAGATCTACCGTTCTAAAGATAGAGAAACCCACTCACCGTTGCATGGTCAAAATGGGGTTCATAGTGTCCTCCAATCCCATAGTTCACCACTTGGAGGTACTCTGCATACGGAGGCTGCACATTGAGACCTGTGAGCAAGGTGATTCTCTGGTCCAGCCTCCCAATGATAGGGTGGGCTGTCTCCTTTAACCATGCACTGAAAAACAAACCACAAACTCTCATAATACAGATAATGTTACTGTCTTGGTTTGAGCTCGACCTGATGCTACCAAAGGTTTTAGAAAGGCCCAAATTTGACTCATTACTTCTGACAGGTGGCGTCATTCCTACGTGATGTGCAGTCCTCAACCGATCAGTGCTGATACTCGTCGTGCTACCTGATGTAAGACAATGAAGTACACTAACTCTTCCACTGATACTGTAGGTTCCAGAGATGTTCAGCCACTTTCCATTCAAAGGTTAAAGTCTATCCCACAATTAACTATCATACATTACATAAAGCTAATAAGCCTGAAAATCATGTGTGCACCATAAAATTAGCCCAAGCATTTTATAGTGCTATACAGTATATTCACTGGTTGCTGTGGTGCATTGTTCTGCTTGGTGCTTTTATTACTGCTGTAAGTGATATGAGAATGAACTGTAAACTATACATTTAATAGTGACATGTTTCTGATAGTAGTACCTCTTGCTGATGCGATACTCTGCAGTAGCCTGTTCCTCTCCAGATGCCACCACAGATCTCCTTAACTTATGGCACAATAAGCAAGAAGACTGTCAATACTCAATCATTTTATACAGCAGTAACGTTTTAGGATCAAACTGCAGGGCTCTGTCTGCCAAGAGAAACATGAATGATGTGAGGATAGAGAAGAGAACATCCAAAAGAACACAGTAAATAACATACAAAAAAGACAACATGTAAAAACTAAACAACTGGCAACCGCAGTCATTTTCCAATGAAGCCGTGTCTGATGGAAATACTTGACTGGCATTTCCATCTACACCCTCGCTAAATACTTTGGACTAGGCAGCTAATACTAAACCCTTGGAGCCAAGCATGAACACACGAATACCATGCTCAGGCAATGATATATGGGTCTATGTGCTCAGGGCAAGGAGTGCTGCATGTGCTCCAGGCTCCAAATTACTAATACTCCAGATGTGATTCCAAAATGACACCCTATTCCCTATATGGTGCACTACTTTTGTAGTGCACTATTGAGGGAATAAGGTGCCATTTGAGACGCAGACCAGGCCTGGTTTTAATCAACCCACCAGAGTGCCATCAAATGTTGACATAATGATGAAATAAGTGGAGGGATTTCCATTTGAAGAAGGGGTGGAAAACCTGTTGAACAGTGCCAAAACCTCACACAATCTAGGAGATCATTTTGGTTACAGCATCTCGCCTGAAAAACTGAGTCAGCATAAACACTATTAGGAGGATAGATCTTTATATGCTGCTGGCACAGGACAGATACAGTATTATTTTCCATTAGCTATTGAGATGAGAAGTCACAGTTTTTACCCATAGAGCCCTCAGCAATTTGGACCGTCTGAGGCACTCTGCCAAGGATCGGAAGTAATGTATCCCTTATTGCTTTAACCTTTGCTTAATGGTTGGAACAATATCAACTATTCCTCCCATGGGTTTTTGAGAGATCCCTAATCCTATCACTATTGTTCCACTTTTCCTAGATTGGGATCAGTACAAAGCAAAGTCAATTCAGTCAGACGTTCTTCTTGCAAACCAGCTTGATGGACATATTTGCGCTCTTTTTGGCATGTATTATCAGATTGTTAATATTTGTTAATATTGTAAAAATTGCAACCAGGTCACAGAACAGAGACTGAGCCTTTCTAAAACCCTTGGTAGATAAAGTATTTGAGATCACAAAACATGCAAGAATAGAAATATTACTATATGATAAAAATCCTATCAATGCCTGCCAATGTAATCCAAGCTGTAACTATTACTCGGGTGAAAAACTAGCACCTCAGTTCAGTGGCAGTCTAAGCGGCCAGACCAAAGGGAAAAAAGATGGCAGTTGGGAAATTTCCTGAAATAACCGTTATCCCAGCAGAGCCAAAACGAACAGTGTTCGGTGTGTAGAGTCACTCTCCTGCACAATCTTTACTGGAGTCATAAAATACAGAAAATAGGCCGTTGACATGTAACGCATTTAATAATCCTTCAGATGAGCAAAAACAAATCATGACACAGGGGGGTCTCTTCTATAAGTTATGTTATTTAAAAGACAGTCCTCATTTTCAATGGACTTGGAATGTGGTAATCAGAATCAATGTTATGACAATGGAATCTGGAGCCATATGTATCAAGCGTCTCAGAGTTAGATGGCTGATTTAGGATCAGTTTTGCCTTTTAGATTACAATGAATAAGACTTGGATGGGGAGGACTTGATCCTAGATCAGCACTTCTTATCCGAGACGTTTGATACATACTGCGCCTGATAGGCCTTTTCTGAGTAAAAGGGTTGACACCATGGCAGTACATAGACACTCACCCCTGTGTGGGCGAGGTCCCTGATACTCTCTGCCTCTGAATCAGTGATGAAGCTGTGGTAGAGGACCACGTACGGCTGCAGGTTCAGCACCTCACGTCTGATTGGCTGCAGTAGCAACCCAGGACTGTCATTGTTGAAATAGTCACAGAACAGCAGGGGGTTTTCATAATGCGTTGGCTGTGAGGAGAGAAGGGCATCTGAAGTCCATTACTGGAGCCGAAACATGGAAAGAAAGCAGCAGTATTTTCTTTTCATCCTCAGAACTTGTAATTTAAAACTATTTTCTCTCTCTGTGAGCTCCAGACTGTAGCCAAGTCTCAGCACATTATTTGAAAACCACAACTGTTTTCCTCATATGGTGGCTCATATGGTGTCATACATTTAAAAGGACAATATGATTTCTGTTGCTGTTTGGAGCATTTCTAAAAGTTAGCAAATGTATCACTTAATTGCTACCGCATATAACCGGCTGGGTGGACAAGATTATAATATCATAGATGAGTATACCTGAGTGCCCTGTGTCCGACACAGTCTCTCGTAGGTGTTCCTTGTCCGTAGATAGGTGGTGTTGGGCCTCTTCAACCCAGTGTCAGTGCTCAGTAAGGGTGGACTGTCAACAAGCAGTCGCTCATACTTCTCTACATTCTTCAAAACTCTCCCGTTCATCGGATCTTCAGGAAGGGAATCATGTAATTACCATCAATATGATACCATGAGTTTGGAGAAACAAATCACAGCGTCCAGTTGGTAAAATACAAACAAGCGAGCAGTACAGATGTTTTCCTGATCACTTTACAGGAAATGTATTTACTTTTATTAAAAGGTGGCCTGAATTGTAAGGTCCAGGTCCACGTCTGCATTATGCACAGTTCAGCTACTGTATGGGGAAATAGGCTGACATACAAAGCAGATGTTGACCAGGCTGCCTCTATATACTGTGGGACAGTAGTGGGATGTTTTTTTAAGGAGTGGGGCAGTCCCACTCCTTTCATATTTTTATTGTACAGGATAAAGAGAAAGGAAGGAGTAGTGGGTCAGAGTAAAACCCATGCTCGCAACGGTGCATAGTATGTGTGATCCAGAGACAGCTGTTTATACCGCTGGACCACCCCAGGCCACAGTATAGTGGGATGTTTTAAGTGAATAGGCTTACCATGGTTCAACAACTCCTGAGAGAGACTCAGTGCATAGGAGATGTTTCCTGTCTGAAAAAAAACAAAAAAGTTAAATTTGGTCAACAAAATGCAAAAAGAATAAAATATTCTCTCAAATTTTTTTTTTTCAACCAGTAAGTCAATCTATTTTGAAAATAATCATATTCAAAATCAGAATAACTTTAATTTCTATGTGCAAAATAGACATGCCTTGAAGTGAGAGAAGGCCAGGTGATCCAGAGCATCTTCAAGAGTTCCCTCATTCTCTGGGCTCCATTCCCCCCCTGCCCCTCGGAACAGACGCACTGACTCCTCCAGCCACTGCACTGAATGGTAGTAGTCCTCCAGCTCATAGGCAACCTACAATACAACAACAGGATGTTAGCATTCGAAAACAACAGAATGATTTTATAATGAGAAATTGAGACACATTCTTTTCCTGAACAGTCATACACCCATACTTGGAAATGTTTATCTGGAATCCAAACTTATGTTGGAAGGAAAGAGTAAACACCTTTCTAGCATTATAAATGTTATTCTCTCGCATCTAGAGCTGAAGAGAAGAGAGAGCCACGTAAAGTACATGTAGCACTATGATTGTTGATGGTGGCTGCGGCTTTGTACGTGCCCCGGAAACGTGAGAAATAAAGTTAACCCTTAGCTTATCCTGCTGGTTTTAACGACTGGGTTTTAGCCACCATAAAAGTGCAGTTGTAGAACTGTTACTACATGCTGACTCACAACACCCCAAACAGAGCATCTGTTTACACATGGTCACAGTCAGATAATCTTGGTGTTAACACAAGTGAAGGCAAACGCCCCTACTCCACATTCTTAGACTTCCCTAAACAGAGATAATGTATTTTCCACACTGTCCCACACAGTAGGATCCATTGTGGAGTGACTCATTATGAGGTAGACTTCGTCCGTGTCCCAACTGTCACCCTATTCTCTTTATAGTGCACTACTTTTAACCAGGACCCATATGAATCTGGTCAAATGTAGTGCAGTAAATAGGGAATAGGCTGCCATTTGGGATGCATTTCATGCACCCTTTTTCAAATTTGTCTGAGAGAACACTCCGGTCTTGTCTCTCTATATGAATCCCCCTGACACACAGGGAGAGGCCTTTACTCCATCTCTAATATCTAACCACAGAGTATGACAGGCTCAGAACAAAACTGTGTTTTATGGTCTTCTGGTATGGGATGCTAATCAGGGATCACAACACCATCTGCCCAGCAGGCTAGCACTCCTCCTGTTACATGCTCCCCCAGTTGACAGTTTAGAGAGTGCAATGTGAGCAGGGATTTCCTTTTGGTCCCCCCCATAGTGAGCTGAGGCCAAAAGGAAATTAACTAAAATGAAGCATTAAAGGCTGCGTCCCTTTTCCAGAAGTGTGCACTTGCACAATCCCCATCATGGATTTAAAAACATGGTATAAGATGAACTTTACGGTCCCCAAGGGGAAAACTGTCTTGAACACACAGTACTGCTGTATACAAAAGACACTGTACATTACACACTCAAAATACATACATTGCACATTACCCTTTTCATCCACACTTCTCATATAGCCACATACCTACATAATACATATTGCACATTCCCTTATTCAGTCAGTGGCGTACTATTGCCGTTCAGGTATGATGGACATGGGAATGAAGGAGTGCTTATACCTGTTCAGTTTACACATGGGATTAGTGTAATCATTGGCTGGAGGGAGTTTCCATCATTGTTAGATCCATGCGAGACAGCGTGCAAGTGCACACTTCAGGAGAAGGGTGGAGAATTAGGCGCAGCCATTGATTAAATGGGTGAGTTATTGGTGGCTTACCTTCCCAACCAGGAAGCAGTCATCCCCAGAAAGAGGAACAGATACTGTGGGACTGTAGATATCAATGGGGTTGCCGTTAGTGATCCTCTGGAAGTGACCTCTCACAAGTCCCCCCACTTGAAGGGCATACACATCCTGTAGCCTCATCAGGCCCTTGGCAGCCCCCTGAAGGTCCTCCAGTTTGGGCAAGCTGCCCTCCTTCTCCACCTCCTCGTAACCAGACCTGAAGGCTGAAACACAACAAGGGGGTAGTGAGTGGGAGTGAGCTGATGACAGGACACAAGAAGCGGGGGATGGACCTTTGACAAACTTGTGATGTCAGTTGTAAGGACCAGATGTGTTTCTAAAGAGAGTCATAAAGGGAAATAACCTTGAGTGTTCTCTTGTGCCTCATCACTGTAGATCAGATTCAGCCACTCGGACTGCAAGCGCTTGATAAGAGTGAACGCCACCAAGGGGTTTGCCATAGCAGTTGATGGTCCACTGTATACTTCATTGTGCAAGTCTGAAACCTTTGCATAAAACCTGCAGAAAGAGTCTATAAGTTTAGAGAGAATATATCACCTTAAGGTAATACCATGATAGGGGAGACAACCATGCAATGATATATGCATGAGGCTTTCCATGGAAATCAAACTGCTCCTAAATCAGTATAGAACTCATCTTGAGTTTATGATAGGCTTTAGAAGGAACTTAACATTAGTGAATTAGTCATTATAATGGTAAGTTCCTTCTAAAGTTACCTAAACGGATGGAGGTGATTCATCGATAGCATATGTCCCGCAAGGAATACAAAGGCCAAAGTAAATCGATAACAGTAGCCTTTCATGAGATTGTATGGAACAAAATATAATAAAGGACATATAGCCCAAATTTAGACATAATTATTTATCTCTATTTGTTAGCTTTCTCGCTCTAAAACCACCCACTCCAAAGCCTTAATAATTAAGCCTACAATACAAGTGATAGGCTATCAAGCCCACGTGCATCATGACAACATTTCCTGTATGTTACTCACCTTTTGATGTCTTCAAGTCTCTCTGATTCGTGTTCGATGTAAGTTTCTAAATGATCAATAAGTTGTCTTTCAACGTTGATGGCTTGTTTTACGTTCAATAATGACGTATACATCTCACCAAAATATAATGGCATCAAAATCATACTGAATATAACACAGGCTGAGTAAATGGATTTGAAATAATATAGCATTTTGCGCGCGTATGATACCCTCGATGATGTTCAAAATGTTGCCGTTGCCTGTGCTTGCGCTAGTTTTTTGTCGACTCTAATCTCCAATGGTTATTGCTGTAAATGTATGAAGTGTAGCGCAGTTTCTTGTTTGAAACCACTCAAACCTGCCCTACGGGAAAGCTGTGCTCGGTCCTGCCGTTCTGTGTGATTCTCGTCAATGTTCTTTCTCAACAGTGCTCACACCTGAGAGATCAGCTTTCGCCATTTCACTTGATCTGTCATCCGGAGGAATGGTTCAACGAAATAGCAATCTCATATATGAAGTTGCATGATTAATGAACAATCATATTACATTAGGTAGTTTAGGAAAACTGTATTTGCTCAAAATGTATTGCAACAGTTTGCCCTTTGGAATTGTGATGCGTAAATGTGCCCAGTACCTGCATTCCACTCATATATTAGTCTCGTTAAATGATTTTATAATAACTCTGAATATCAAATAATCAAACCTTATTGTTTTAGGAATCAATGTTCTAATTTCGCCAAAGAAACTGAACGTCTTCCTATGTGCGCACATTCATCCAGTGCGGTGACCCAAGTTGCACCCACTTGATACATTTGGAATTATAGTGACATCTAGCGTACGAGTTTACGGTTTCTCAAAGTCTTCTGAAGCAATATTTTCTATTCCAAAGCAAGCCTCTGTGTTTGAAGAAAACATATATATATATTTTTTTAGATAGTAACCAACAAATTTACGTTTTAAAAAGACACCAGCTTTATAATGACATAATGGCTGTCATCCAGCCAGGGCTTTACTCTTTTAATATGTTTTTATTGACTAACATATACAGGCTACTAGTCTGTACATTGATTTGACCAGTGGCTCCGCTTCAGGACCAGTTCATTTGACCCTAGGCTTGGTGGCCGGGGCTCTGGGGCTGATCCTGTGTCTGTGTGAGCAGCACAGGACAGCTCCCCTCATGTAGCCCCTCAGGCTCTCATCTCTCAGGCCGTAGATGAGTGGGCTGAGGAAGCGCGGCAGCAGGATGAAGCAGAAGTAGTTGAAGAAGGAGATGTGCTCGTGCAGCCAGCCAGCGTGCATACGGATGAGGCTCTCTGTGACTGGGTGGGTGAAGGCGATCATGCACAGCAGTAGCTGAAAACCGTGGAGCAGCACTGTGTGCATGGCCTTTCCCGCAGACGCCCGGTCCTGACGCATCTTCCTGGTCTCCAGCAGGATCCTCATGTAGGTGAACATGATGATGGCCGCCACCACAGCGAAGAACAGACCGTTGAGCGACACCTTGAACAGCGTCTGGACGGGGGATGAGTTGAGGACCAGGGTTTTGCAGAGCACCGGGGTGGAGAGGACGTTCACGCCAGGCTTAGTCTCTCCCAGAGAAAAGTCCACGATGGGCAGGAGGCAGCTGACCAGCCACAGGCTCAGGATGATGATCCAGATGCGGTCAGCGCGCCAGGCGGCCGGGCGCTGCAGAGGGTAAAAGATGGCCACGTAGCGCTCCAGGGACATAGCTGCCAGGATCAGAGGGGTGTTCTGGAAGGTGGAGGTGGAGAAGAAGAGTAGAGGGGCACAGTAGACGATGGCGAACTTCACATTGCCCATGACGAAGAGGAAGAGGAGGACAGAGGAGAGGAGCTGGAGAGTGTCGTTGATCAGCATGTAGGCAAACAGGATGTAACGGGAGTTGTCCAGGAACTGTCTGTGGGAGGCAAAGGTGTGCAGCATGACCACGATGCAGTAGAGGAAGATGCAGAAGAAGGGGATCACCACACACACCTTGATTATCACAGACAGGCTCTTCTGTGAGTTGGTGGCATTGCCTGGAAGGTCGGTCAGATTCTGCATTTTTCAGTGTGGCCTGCTTGAGGAATGGTCAATGTCTGCAAATCTGGAATGTTGAGGAAAACAAAGACTTGATATGCACACAGAACAATTCATGACAATATACATGATCCCAAAGATGAATAAGATACCATGAACTAACCTCAACTTGTCCTTTGATGGAGAAAGTAAAGGTTTGGGAGGGATGGGTTGTGGATTTTTATACATGTTTCTCCATAACACCACCATGATGCAAAACATCTCTGGGAAGAGGCATTTCCTTATTCTAAATGTTTTGACAGTGTCTTGATTTCTCAAGGGATAAATTAATTTCATGCCATTCTCAATGCATTCTTCATGCATCATGTTCATAATTATTGCTCAAGTTCCTCAACAGGGAAAAGGTCTAATAGGTGCTTAACTTTTACTTAGGGAACTCTTCAAAATAACTAATTAGAATAACTTAATTCTTATTAGAAGTAATGATAGTATGGTCTGACGATTTGAGCCATTATGTGGACCATGCAAGAATCAAACCCACAACTCTGGTGTTGCAAGCACCTTGCTCCAACCAATTTAGCTATTAGAGCCATCTTTACTCAGATTAACTGATAAAAAATAAAAAAAAGCTTTCGCAATAGTGCAAAATCATATAGGCCATTTTGTCACTTTAAAATGGTGATCACATCTGATCAACTATGGGCTCTATTTAATCAACACCAGTTCAAATGTTTCCTGGATAAGTCAAGCACATTATCCCTGTGCAGGGAGAAAGCATGTCTGAATTCACATGCAGGCAAGTTTCTTTTCGTTTGAATTTGGAAAATGGTTTCATTTTGAAAGGGCCCTATGTTTTGAAATTAAGGCTCAACAGGAGTCCTGCTATTTATGAAATGTAACTTAGACCAATCTATATTTCTTCAAATGTGTTTATTTTCCTCAGTACTGTTATGTCAGTATTTTTAATACAGTATAAAAGATATTGGAGTGATCCTTGCTATATGAGGCACGTTACAATTCACACCAAGTGGGTGAACCCTATTGGTGCGATGCGTAGGGTGTTTGCCTTTCACTCCAGCCACCCGGGTTCTCCTCCCTGTCCCGCCATTCGCTACATTGGTGTCAGAAGTTGGAGGGCGGCCGTGAGGTCAACGGGACGTGTAATGGGGCTGAGTAGTCGAAGCACGGGGATGTGGCTTCCCATTCGGAGGGGGCCGTGTAGCGATCCTCTTTATATGAGCCACATTACAATTCCCACCAAGTGGATTAAACCTATTGGTGCGATGCGTAGTGTGTTTACCTTTCACGCCAGCGACTCTGTTTTGCTTCCCTGCCCCGCCGTTCGCTACAATATCTATAAAACCTTGTTCTATTTTTAAAAGGTGTTCTATCAACCCATGGGTGAAATGCATGCAGACCAGGACCTAGAGTAAAAGGCATGTCCTTCTACCAGCGTTTGTTATTGTTTTCAGAGAGAATGATGAAAACGTAAACATTGGCATGGGTTGTTTGTGAGGGGACTTGCATGGACTGCATTTGATGAACAGGGAGGCGTGTTCACTGTGTTGTTGGATGGATATCTCCAGAGGACAGTTAGAGAGAGAGCGTGTCCCCTGTCCCCTGATTAGTAATTAACAGACTGGTTGATTATTAACAGAGAGCTTCTGAGTCTAACCTAATTGTGCAACCGTATGTTTTCTTTTGTTTGGCAAACAAGATGACTCTGTTGAGAGCAGCACACCAGGGCTTGGTCTGATCTTGACGTAAGTCATGCGTCAGTAGTGAAGACAGCTGGGGCCAGGTCCAAACAGTGTGTTCTCCCTGGGCCGCTGGGCCCCAGACAAACCTGATACTCGTTGGACTCCTGTACTGTAAACACCAACTCAGCATTCCCCCAAAATGAAAACTACATGTATTGTTCCAGTCAAACTATCATCAAAAAATGGCCACTAACATCAACTTCTGAAACAACAGAGATAGGGTTTGAAACATTATAGATTTTATTGAACTTTTACAGAGTTTTTATTTTTATAGAGTCAAGGAACCATGACAAAAGCAGTACATAAATGATTGAAGTTTAATAGAAATGTCTAACTGTCACTCAGCAAAGGGGAGTCAAATAGGGGTGTCAAATACTATTTATGTTACTGCAGAGATTAGGAAGGCCAAACATCAGTGAAAAAAACCCAATTGAACTAAATTAACAAAAACTCTGATTTTATATGAATGAAATCAATCTACAGGCCCTAAATGTTTGACACCCCTGACATAACATAACATAACCATAATAAAACTGGGTCATAAACCGACACCTGAAACATATGATACCTTTTGATCCTCTCACTCACAGATTACAGAAAATTGCCTCAATAAACATAATTCAGTATTACACATGGCCAGCATTTACCTTACAGGTGTGCATGGGAGTTTTTCTTCTTAATTTAGGATTAGGCTTGTCCATATTAAATATAAATACTTTTTTAGAATATCCAAACAGGGCATAATATTTCATAACCACCACAAAATCCTTATCCCTTAATCCATACACAAGTCGACTCAGACATCGAGGGGCAAGAATAAAAAGAATATAGTCAATATACCTACGCTGAATAAACAGATTCAAATTGATCTTCATTATAGCCGATTCTATCATAGGACACCAGAACTGGATCAAACAAAGGAGTAACTGGAAGCCATGGAGAATAACTGTCCTCAGGCCCTTATTGGTGGACTTCTTACTGTCTGATGAGGCAGCTCTGGCAGCCACCATGATCTTCACATAGGTGAAAGCTATGAGTACAGACTTGACCAGGAAGTAGAACTGACACAGAGCCGAGTTGAGGTGGCCCTGCCAGGAAAACACTATCATCTGCTCGAAACTGCAGACTAGAGGAGAGGTGTAGAAGCTCAGAGGTACAGCCGAGAAGAGGATGGAGATCACGATGATCCATTTAACAGAGCTGAGAACCTGGATGAGTAGGATGCAGCGCATGGCCCTCACCGGGGTGGAGAGTTCACTGTGGCGCAAGGGCAGGCAGATTGCCACATAGCGCTCCAGGCTCATGGCTGTCAGTGTCAGCGGTGTGGCAAAGATCACAACCAGAAATATACATAGCCCACCTGGCATTGGTACCCTGGAGTAGCTCATCAGCAGCAATACATCAGTCAGAGCCAGAAACATACTGTCACAGACCAGCGTGTGAGCAAAGAATATGTATTGTGTGTTGGTGAAGAAGGCCTCTTTTTTTAAAGAAGGTGAAGATCATGAGGGAGTTGATGCAGAGGAAGATGCCAATAAACACTTGGACTAGGTATTGCACAGTCGGAAGAACAAGACTTCCCTCACTGCCCTGGCTTGTATTCAGCATTGTATTTCCTGTTTTAGAAAGAGGATAAAAATGTAAAGCAATGTCAATCAGAAAGTTGTCAACGCAAACATTAAATAAAGCCATGTAGTAATTTGTCAGTACCAACATTGACCATCGTAAGACACAAATCTTTTTACTACTACAGATAAAGAATGTCAGCAGAATCTGAAATAAAAGTGAGAAGGTGGTCTTACTGTAATCCTTTAATAACAATTACCCAACAATAACTATTGTAAAATAACTATAACCGATTATGGTATCAATATGTTTGTCTCTAAAAGGTGCATTGATGTCGATCACGACCCTTGCCCAGTGTCCTCCTCCTTCTGTCCCTAGCTAGGACAACCTTTATAGTAAAAATCAACACTGGCCCGAATTCTCCAGGGATGTGGGTTGAAGTTAAATCATCTAGCAACTATTGTGTTGATAAACAAGAGCTACGGTAACACCTTTTTCTGGTAGTTGTAAACAGTCATATCAAGTGTCATGAGGGATAAAGACTGCATTTGTCAGATAAAATGTTGTCATGTTGTCTAGAATACAAAAACAAACTCAAAGATGGACTGTAATATGATGTTTATTAAAATAATGTTATAGTATTTACTGTATTCTAAAGGCAGTTCACCTTCACCTGTCTTATGATCATTTTACACACAGTATTGCTTGAATGACACATGATTTAGAATCGGTTTGTCTGTAGCAAGTGTAGTTCCTGACTGTTGATTTTACGGTTCTCCATCAGCCGAGGGCCCAGTGCCATTACAAAGTAGATGTAGTGTGTACTACTACGCAGGTGTGTGCTTGAATTAATAATGTTATTCTCCTCACTTGTGAAAAGGTGGTGTTAACATTGTTGCATTTGTAGGCTCGGCCCTAAACTATGTGCTCTCTGTCACCTGGGGCTGCATGGCAAATGGCCCAGGAACACAAGGAAGACACAAAATACAATGATTCAAGGGCCCATAGCCGTGGGAAGATGTTTTGAGGAGGGATGGAGAGGGCTCTTCTCAATTTGAGCGAACATTAGCCTATTTTATTGGCACCAGCGGAGAGCATCGTTTATATCCCCGGCGGGTGTGCTGTGCGCATATTCACTCTTCATCATTGGGTCAGTGCCACTTCAAACTTAGTTTTTGGACAATAATTTCCTCCTCCAGGTTAGATGGACATCATATTGTACAATTTGTGTCTCCCCTTTTCATAGGCCTAGATTAGATGGTTGGAGACATGGTTGTTTTTATTGATCTGTTTGTCAATGTCAGCAGTAGCCTATAGGCCTATACTACCTTGTAATTTTTGTCGTACTGAAAAAGATTCTGCTAATGTCTTCAGACATAAAGTGTAGTTTATAAACACAAAAAGAAAGGAGAAGAAACGGATCTGATATAGCCTATATCCTAGGCCTACTCTTCCTTACTACATGCTCAGCCATGCAAGGCCCGCGGGTTCGAATAGGACACACAAGCGCTGCTTTCGTGTGTCCTGTTTGCAGAGGGCAGCGTAGGGAAAGTGTACAGACACATGCCACAGTCCTAGCTAAGCTACTAAAAGGTTGCAGTCTGGCTTTGGTTTTAAAGCTTGACAATGAATAACTAAAAAACAAAACCTGCAACAAAACACCATGCAAAGGAGAAACATGTAGGTCAATTACAGCAACATTTGAGCAGTAGCCTAGGTTGGCTACTCATCTACAATACATTTTGAGTCCACCATACAGCAATGCTGCATTCAACCGACTTTTTCCCCCCATATCGTTTTTCGGTGGCTACTGGCTACAGCTAGAGATGCAGGTGTCATTTGGTTAGCTAGCAAGAAATGTGAATCGCTTTGCTAGCAAGGCTGAACTTGAACAACTGTTATCCACAGTTAGCATATCTCTTAGTTTTCAATCAAATGCACACTGAACTAAAATATACTGTAAACGCAACATGTAAAGTGACAGTCCCATGTTTTATGAGCTGAAATAAAAGATCTCAGAAATCTTCCATACACACAAATATTTCAAAAATGTTGGCCACAATTTTGTTTAGATCCCTGTTAGTGAACATTTCTCCTTTGCCAATATAATCCATCCACCTGACAGGTGTGCCATATCAAGAAGCTGATTTAAACAGCATGATCATTACACAGGTGCACCTTGTGCTGGGGACAATAAAAGGCCACTCTAAAATGTGCAGTTTTGTCACACAACACAATGCCACAGTTGTCTCAAGTTTTGAGGTAGCGTGCAATTGGCATGCTGACTGCAGGAATGTCCACCAGAACTGTTGCCAGAGAATTGAATGTTAATTTCTCTACCATATGTCGTTTTAGAGAATTTAGCAGTACGTCCAACCGGCCTCCCAACCACAGACCACGTGTATAGCGTCATGTGGGTGAGTGGTTTGCTGATGTCAATGTTGTGAACAGAGTGCCCCATCGTGGTAGTGGGGTTATGGTATGGGCTGGTATAAGCTACGGACAATGAACACAATTGCATTTTTTAAATTAATTTTTTGTCATTTAGCAGACGCTCTTATCCAGAGCGACTTACTGTTAGTGAGTGCATACATTTTTCATACTGCCCCCCCGTGGGAATCGAACCCACAACCCTGGCGTTGCAAGCGCCATGCTCTACCAACTGAGCTACAGGAGGCCTGTATTGATGGCAATTTGAATACACAGAGATACTGTGACGAGATCCTGAGGCCCATTGTCCTGCCATTCATCTGCTGCCATAACCTCATGTTTCAGCATGATAATGCACGGCCCCATGTCGCAAGGATCTATACAAAATACCTGGAAGCTGAACATTTCCCAGTTCTTCCATGGCCTGCATATTCACCAGACATGTCACCCATTGAGCATGTTTGGGATGCTCTGGATCGACGTGTACGACAGCGTGGTCCAGTTCCCGCCAATATCCAGCAACTTCGCTCAGCCATTGAAGAGGAGTGGGACAACATTCCACAGGCCACAATCAACAGCATGATCAACTCTATGCGAAGGAGATGTGTCACGCTGTATGAGGCAAATGGTGGTCTCACCAGATACTTTTGACGGCCAACTAGCTGAAAAGGTTTGAGAGGGTTTATCTAATGTTCCCTTGTTAGATTTTAGCTCATCTCCTCTGGCTAGCATTAGTTGTTGATCTTGTTAATGTGCATAGGCAACTGAGGGAGAGAGAGCCTTCCTTTTTTCATGGTTGTTTGATCAATAGGACTGTGACATTCCCAACAGCAGCTGCAGCAGAGTTAGCCACAGGTTTGTGCAGGGTGGGTGGTAGCTAACTAGCTGGTCTCCCTCAGCATAAGGGTTGGCTAATGCTAATAAGCTTGCGTTAGAGCTCAGCATCCTTAAGCTATTGGGTGTCAGTCAGAGTTATTTAACAGTATATTTTTGGTTACTACATGATTCCATATGTGTTATTTCATAGTTTTGATGGCTTCACTTGTCAAGGCGTCAGTGTAGGCGAAGTCAGGCGCAGGACACAGAGCTAATCAAAAGGCGTACTTTACTCGTAGGTAAAAGAATGAACAACAACCTCCACGCAGGGAGGGAACAAACCCGCACACTAACGACAACCAAAACATGAATAAACACGCACAACACACAGTGAGAGACAGAGGGTTAAATAGGGAAGACATAACTACATGATGGGAAACAGGTGTGACCAATTAAGACAACCAGTCGAACATAGATACATGGATCGGTAGCAGCTAGTACTCCGGTGACGACGAACGCCGAAGCCTGCCCAAGCAAGGAGGAGGGGCAGCCTCGGCTGAATCCGTGACATCACTATTATTCTACAATGTAGAAAATAGTAAAAATAAAGAAACCCTTGAATGAGTAGGTGTGTGCAAACTTTTGACTGGTACTGTATATACATATTTATTAAATTGTTGTAATTATTTAATTGAGCTTTTATTTTTATTACTCTTTTATTCACTTAGCTACTGTAGTATCTGAACATTCCAGAACTTGGCTCTGCTTGCGGAAACATCTGGAAAACATTACTATAGGGGCCCCCTAAAACAGAGGAGAGTCTGCTATGTAGAGGCCAGGGATTGGTCTATTAAATCCACCCATATTATGTTACATAGGATATAAATACCATGTTTTTTAACAAAGGACGGAGAGAATAACATATTAGAGATTGGGTCAGTTGTTCTCCAGATGTCTGCAGGAATCTGTAAATTGATACTGTAATCTTTGATGTAATAAACCATTATAATCAAGGACAGTGTCAGCGGATTTCTTGTCATCACAGCATATCAGCATCGTTGTCTCGACACCACACTACTTACTTTTTCCATTGTTGTTGCATTGCCGAGAGGTTAACCTGCAAGTAAAGCATTTTATTACACTGTGTACTCCATGTATATCATGTGTATATGACAAATAAACAAACTTGAACTAAGAAGGGAAGGGGGAGGGCAGCCAGAAAGAGGGGGGAAAGATGGCCAGCTTTGTGGTTAGATTATGAAAAATATTGAAAATACATAGGCCATTGAGTTATGTGTCCTCAAATGTTATGTAATCTAAAAATCAAACATTAGCTGGTAGAACTGATTAAATTAATCACAGAGGTCTTATAACTTATTCCATTCTACAGTTTTTTGGGGCGGGCTCATTTCTCTTTATATTCATATAGCCTAGGGGCTATGTAGCTTCTTATCTGTCATGTTTGGAGTTGTGTTGCTCTGTTATGTGGACACTTACATTTTTCTTTACAGTTGAAATGCAAAACAATGCAAGAAAATGCTCATCCAGAGGCAGCGCTCCTAGTGGCCGGGGACTTTAATGCAGAGAAACTAAAGTCTGTTTGACCTTA